ACGCACTGTCTCTCAGCAAGGTTAGATCACGGGACCTAAGCCTGGAAACCGTGGAGGCTATTTTGGTTTTGGAGACAGGGTCTCACCATGTGCTCTGGGCTGGCCTCAAACTCACTGGACAGTCCAGGCTAGTCTCTTTGTGATCCTCCTGCTTTAACTCCTTCAGTGCTGGGGTTGTAGATGCATATGACAATCTCAGCTGGGCACTATATTTGTAATAAACACAGCTGGTCAGTTAGACCATTGACTACATCAATGGGACTGGGAAAACTGAGAAACACTGGGACCCAGAGAAGAACAGAGATCTGCTTAGGATCATAGACAAAGAGCTGTGGCTAGGCTCAGGCCAATTCACTCATTGATTCATTCATTCATTGACAGATATACATTCATTCATTGACAGATTCATTCATTCGTTCATTGATGAAACCATTCCCCAGTGCTGACTTCACCAGGTGCTTCACTAAGGGTGTCCCAGAGAGGGGGGTGTAGGTGCAAAGGTCCTGAGGCAAGAGTGAAATGAGACTGAGGAAGGCCTGCAAGAGTAGGTTGCAGAGGCCCTTGGGTAACATGCTAAAAATACTGTCTTTTCTACTTTTTGTAAAGCATAAGAAGTTACCAAAGGTCTGGGCTTGGAAGGAACATGGTCAAGTTAAGAATCCAAAATTTGGGGCTGGAGAGATGGCTCAGAGGTTAAGAGCACTGACTGCTCTTCCAGAGGTCCTGAGTTCAATTCCCAGCACCCACATGGTGGCTCACAACCATCTGTAATGAGATCTGGCACCCTCTTCTGTGTACGTAATAAATAAATAAATCTTTAAAAAAAAAAAAAGAATCCAAAATTCTTTGACTAGGGTGTGGAAAATGGAGCAGGCAGAAGCCAATGAGAAGGCTGCAAAGGTCCAGACAGAAGGTGATGGTGGCCTGAACTGTGGATGGGGCCAGGGGCCAGGGGTAGGAGATGGAGCTAACTATGGGCGCCATATTCCCAGGGCCAGATCACTTGCTTTTGCTGAGCAGAAAGAAGAATGAAAAGTGTTGAGTAGAGGCAGGTCTACTGAGATGGAGGAGCAGGCTGGGGAGGGGAGTGATGGGGCTTTTGTGGGTTGTCTCTATCATGGACATGATAATTCAGAATGCTGGAGAGATCCAAGCTACAGAGAAGTCCTACCATGCTGGGTCTGGGGAGAGGACCTGGCCCCCTTCTATTCTTGGTGACTCTGACTGTTGAGAGGGAAGAGAGGGTGCCCAGGCTGGAACCCCAGACTGCAGAAAGGGTTTTAAACAATAGAACAGAAGCCCACAGGAAAACTGAGTGGTCGATAGCCTAAGCAGAGTGACTAGAGCCCTTTGGGTAAGGTCACAGGGTGCTTTGGTGGGAGAGCTATGCCCCTAGAGATTCAGAGGCATGGACAGATATGTCCAAAGTACTTTGTCAGCAGTGAGAGGACTTGGGTAGAGCTCATCTCAAGGTGATATGAGGTGGGATCCTGGGTGCCTGGTACCTCTCTAGCTCAGCAGCTTCCCGCAGCAGGGAACTTAGCTTCCCACGGTTTGTAAGGATGGAAGCTTGGAAACAGCTTGGCTGGGTGCTTCTGGCCACAAGCCTCTCTCATGAGGCTGCAGTTAAGATGTTGGCGGACTGCACTGCCTGCAGGCTTGACGGCTGACAGATCCACTGCCAGCATGACTCCCCTCCGTGGCTGAGGGGTGGCGCCTAGCTGGGCAGGAGGCCTCGGTTTCTCCACATAGACCTGGGACTACTGGACTGCTTTGCAGTGTGGCACTGACCTACCCCAAGATAAGATGACTGGAAGCTGCAAGGGTGAGGACCCGATATCTGAAGCCACAGTCTGTGTCTGAAACATTCTAACTGGCTGACGGTAGTCAGCGTGGGAGGGGACTGCCAGGTCCTTTCCCTAGACCTAACACTCCAACCCCTCTTTGTAGCTCAGATCTCGTCACGGCCCCAGATTGTCACCCTAGGAGGACAGAGAAGAAAGGAGGCCATCTTGCACACTGGTTTCCACAAAGAAAATACAAATTAGGCACAGAACAGTCCCTGGCATAGTTACAAGGCCACCCAGCTTCTTTGCGTCTGACAGCTATGGGTTGATGCTTTCCTGGAGTAGATCTGGGAAGCCTGGCTTCCACAGTTTTCCTCTCTGTATCTTCCACAACCACCCCCACCCCTACACACACACACACACACACACACACACACACACACACACACACACACACACACACACTTTTTTAAGTATCAGATGACCCAGAGCAGTAGCCACTGAGTGTGGAAAGATGTCCTCTTGTGTATTCAAACTACCGCTGTTTACTGAATTCCGTCTGTGGGGCAGACAGGCTTTCTGGAACAGGAAATGGAGCGATGAGGAGAGCAACACTTGGCCACCCTTGCATGCCGGGTCAGCTTGCCAGGGCTGCCAAACAAAACATCATGGATAAATATTTCTTCCAATACATCTACTTTCTGTAGACCTGAGGGTTAAGGCTTCCGTGTACGAATTATGAGAGAGCAATACAATTCTACCCCTAGAATTGGCCTTCCGGAAGCCAGGGCTTCCAAGCAGTAGTCTCCAGCGTGAGGAGGTACCCACAGCCCTGGACCACCGAGGGAGCCTATAGGCAGGAAGTAGGCCACTGTAGGCCGGAAATGGGCTCTGCAGAGTGGAAGCTGAATAAGAAGACAAGTGAAATTCTGAGGGGGTTTGGCTAAAGAATGTCAGCCAGAGGGAGACGTGGGACTCGGGAGGTCTCTCTTGACTGTAAGACAGAGAATCCCATAAGCTGAGAAGACTCAAATGCTAAGCAGGAAGGGCTAGCCCCATCTGGAAGCCAGGGCTCTCCTGGCAGTGAGAGACAGGAGGGCTGAGGAGAGAGGCAGGTGTGTGCTCCTGCTGGGGTGAGGTGTTGGCTGACATGGGGGGTGGGGTTGGGGGGGATGAAGGCACAGGGAAACTTGAAGATGGAGGTTACAGCCCACTCTTGGCTTTCGGGCCACCCTTCTTGCAACTTCTGGCCTTCCTTGTCTCTCCTCCCTTCCCACTTCCCATCCCAGAGCCTCTCCTAGAACAAGTCTGCAGGACTCTCCCCACGCCAGCTGCCCAGCTGGTCAATGGAAGCTCTGTTCTCCCCGCCTCCCCCTTCACGTTCTCACTGCCGCATGTCAGGGTCAATGCCTTCTTCATGCCTCAGGGAAGTTCTGCTCCCCTCCCCTCCCATCTAGGACAATATTTGAGATTCTTGAGATACCCCATTGCCGGGCAGTGGTGGCGCATGCCTTTAATCCCAGCACTCCGAAGGCAGAGGCAGGTGGATCTCTGTGAGTTCGAGGCCAGCCTGGTCTACAGAGCTAGTCCAGGACAGGCTCTAAAGCTACAGAGAAACCCTGTCTCGAAAAACCAGAGAGAGAGAGAGAGATCCCATTGCACCTTATCACATCTTTGGGCCCTGCTCCACCCTGTCCTTTAAAAACTCTTCAGGGATGCCCAAGGCTCAGATAACAAGATCCAAACATCTCAGATTGGCCTCTGGGGCCCCGTGAATCCAGCTTCCTGAGAACTCACTACCTTTTATTAGTGTACATTAACTGCACCAAACGTTGGACTTCACGGTGATATTTGCCTAAGGCGCTTCATGCATTCTACCTGTACTCTGCCCGGTGACACAGGGCTGTGGTGCCAGCTACTCAGAGGGATGAAAAGTCCAGGCTAAACTCCGGCAACCTGTGAGACCCTGTCCCAAAATAAAAAAGAAAGAAGAGAGGGGATGTATTTTATTAGCACAGATTGCCTACTATGCCCAAGACCCTGGGTTCTGCCTCGGCACCTCATAATATATATTTTAGAGTAAGTAAAATTATTATGGGTACTGGGGGTGTAGCTCAGCTGGTAGAGTGCCTGCTTAGCATGCACCAAGCCCTGAGTTTGGTCCCTAGCACTGCATGAATCAGGCCTGGTCACCCACATCTGTAATCTCAGCACTTGGGGAAGTCAGGAGGAACAAGAAGTTCAAGATTATCCCAAGCTACACAGCAAATCTGAGGCCAGCCTGGGTTACATGAGACATGCCACAGACACAGTGACATGTGGGTACCCCCAGTGCATGGATACGACAGGATATTACGTTAACCAAACCTTGCAGCGTACCTACCCTTCCCCTGCCTGCCCAGTGATTGTTCCCAGGAAGTTTATTTGTGGGGGTGACTGAGTGACAACTTGGAGACACTAAGGCCATGGAGAAAGAATGTGTTGCCCACAGGGGGTGGGGTATGCCATGGCATACCCCACGGGAGGCATGAGGCTGGGAAGGCCCGGAGCTGTCATTAGGTTCCACAGGGCAGATTAGGTGGGAGACAGGGCAGAGCAAGTCCCCGCGAGTAGCTAGAGGAAAGAACCTGCAGACTCCAGGCTCAAGGCCTGTCTCTAGCTGTCTGCCCCTCCCATCCCTGCTCTGGTGTGGTGTCAGGCAGGCAGATGCTGTGGACGAATCAAGGGTGGGCTGCTGAGCACAGGCCTGGGGCTGCTTCTCTTGCAAGTGGAAGGTTGACTCCAGACAGCCTTCTTGTTAATCCAGCCCAGAGCAGGCACTGTTGTTGGTTGTTTGGAGGTTTTTCTTTGTTTGTTTGTTTTTGTTTTGTTTTTACTCTTAGGGGGCTGGCTACCCAGGTTTCAAATAATCACACGGAGACTTATTCTTACTTATGAATGCCTGGCCTTAGCTTGTTGGTTTGTTTCTAGCCAGCTTTTCTAACTTAAATTATTCTGTTTCTCTTTAACTACGGTTTGCCTCTGGGCTTTTTACCATTATTTATTCTATATAACTTTCTTTCCTTACTCTGTGGCTAGCTTGTGGCTGAGTGGCTGGCCTCTGGCGTCACCCTCTCCTTCTCCTTTTCTTGCTGTTCTCTTTCTTCCCTAAATTTCTCCTCCTATTTATTCTCTCTACCCACCAGCCCCACCTATTTCTCTCTCCTGCCTCACTACTGGTCATTCAGCTCTTTATTAGACCAATCAGGTGTTTTAGGCAGGCAAAGTAACACAGCTTCACAGAGTTAAACAAATGCAACATAAAAAAAATGCAGCACATCTTTACATCATTAAACAAATATTCCACAGCATAAACAAATGTAACACATCTTCAACTAATATTCCACAACAAGTAACCTCTGCCCAGTCAGCAAGCAAAGTAAACAAACAAATAAAAATCATGAGCCACACAGCCCCTCCCTCCCTATGCCATTTGTCTAACCCTCTTTTCTCTATAGCAAGACAGTATATATATATATATATATATATATATATATATACACACACACACATACATATACATATACATATACATATACATATATATATCTTCAGAATGAATGTTCTACTGCTTTGTCTGTCCCCAGGCTTTCTGTAGATGGAATCTGCTGAAGACATCCCTCTGTGATTCACCTTCTGCTTACCACTCTGCAGCTGATATTCACCGATGTAGACACAGGCATCAGGGCCCATTCATGTTCACTGCCATATAGTGTTTCACTGTCTGTATGTTCCAGGTATGTATCTACTTGCAGCCGTCAATGGCTTTGGGGGTTCTGTCGGGTAAGCAGAGCTTCCCTGGGCGTTTCTGCATGGGTTGCTGACACACAGCTGTGAGAGCTTCCTTTGGGAAGTCTGAGAGGGGTGATTCCTATGTGCAGATGGTCAAATCCCAACACAATACTTATAGCTCTATTGATGGGTCTGAAATTGCTTCCAGCTTCTTCCAGGCCCTTGGCTTGCCGAGTGCTGTCTGACTTCTGGCATGTCCAAAGGTGGTGGGTCTATGATGGTTTCTCCTTGGTCTCTGTCTGCACTCCATGATGGACAGTGAAGGAGAGCATCTTTCTGAGGGCTCATGGATCTTCCCTGCTCTCAGGGTAGATGCCCCCCATGGGTTAGTTCCGTGAGCTGTGAACATCTAAAGTGTGCATTGCAGCATCTTGTCGTGATCCTCATCCAGGCTTTCGATGCTTCTCTCCTTCCACCATGTGAGTCCTGGGGATCAAACTCAGGTCATCAGATTTGGCAGCAAGCGCCTTTACCTGCTGAGCCCTCTAGCCAGCCCCCTTCATTCAAGAAGGGTGTTCTCCAATATTTCATCAAAAAGTTGTATAGTTTTACCACCTACATTTAAATCAATAATCCATACACAATGGATTTTAACAGGCAGTGTGATATGGTGGTCATGTTCACATGAAGAGCTAATTATTCTGGAATTATTGGCTGGAAAGACCAGTTTTCCTTCCAGGACATGCAATGGGAATTGTGTAAAAGCCTTCCACATATGCCCAGGAAGAGGAGCATTATGAGAGGATGACAGAATGAATGGCAGGTAACTAACTCTGTCCCAGCAGGCTCATATCTGGGACTTTATCCTCGGGACATAATTGCAAATGCTAAACAGATCTGACACAGGGATGCTACTTTAAGAGACAAAACTAGAATGACAATCCAAGAGTGTAGCCAACAAGACAGGATTGTTTAGTGAAGTTTTGTCTCTACACAACCGAACACCATACATTAATCTAAAAAGAGGTGGATGCTCCACTGTAGTGACATGGAAAAAGCATTGGGAAAAAAAAACAGATGGAGGAGCCACACAGAGAGAGCAGTCCTCTGTCCTCAACCCAGAGGCATAGTCACACAGTGACAGAGAGAGCTGACAGCACCCCATTGGAAGTGTTTGAATTTTTATGATGCAATTACCCTAAGGAAAACACAATTCACGTTTTTCCTGTTTTAAAAAAAATGATCCAGGGGCTGGGGGTAGGGGGTACTCAGTTGATAATGTGCTTGCCTGCACAAGCATGAGCACCTTAGATGGAATCCCCAGAACCAGTAAGAACTGGGCATGGTGACACATGCTTGTAATCCCAGCGCTGGGAAAGCAAAGACAGGTGGGTCCCTGGGACTCACCAGTCGGTCAGCCAGCCCAGTGGAATCCTAAAGTTGCAGGTCAATGAGAGTCCCTGCTGAAAAAATTAGGTGAATGGTATCTGAGGAGGATTGCCCTGTGGTACACACAAGAGCATACATACACACACCCCAGACATGGGTGACCATTTTATAATCCCAGCACTCAGGACACTGAGTCAGGAAGAGTGTGAGTTTGAGGCTATCCTAGGCTACATAGGGAGACCATGTCTCAACAACAATAACACAACAACAAAATGATGTTGCATATGCTAAGGGTCAGTCTGCAGGGCCCAATAATACCATTCCTAGATGGTTTCTCAAATAAAATAAGTATGTTCACCTGGAAGCCAGTATGTGACTGTTAGTGCAGCTGTATTTACCCATGTGATGAACACATAAGCAAACACAGTTCCATCCACACACCAGACTCTCACTCTGCAAAGAAACACAGCACTCCTGAGAGATAGAACCCCATAGAGAAGCTCCGGTGTGTGATAGTAAATGGTAGAAGCCAGATCCAAGGGACTCGGGCTCCACAGTACACTTATATGACATTCTGGAAAGTGCATACTGGTAGGAAAACAAAACATGGACAGGGTGTGGGGTGGAGGAAGCAGTGAACTCTAAAGAGGCACAAGGGGATGTGTGTAAGGTGAAGGTCCTGCTCCGTCTGTGACATGACCATAGGTTTGGCAAAACTGACAGAATGCAGGATGCTCTATTCAGTGCCTCTGTAAGTTAAAATAAGCCAATGATGGGTAGCTGGCCTGGAGGAGAAGCACGACAGCTAGCCTTTACAGAGTCTGAGGCAGGAGGATTGCAATCTCAAGGTCAGCCTTGGCGTGATGTCTCACATTGTGTGTGCGTGTGTGTGCGTGTGCGTGTGTGTGTGTGTGTGTGTGTGTGTGTGTGTGTGTGTGTGTGTGTGTATAGAAAAGGGGGTAAGGATGTAGTTCAATGGTAGAAAGCATGACTAGAATGTACAAGGACCTGGGTTCAATCCCCAGCATGGAAAAAAAATAACAAATACAAAACCAAAAAAAAAAAATGTGGAAGCTCAAGAAAAATGTGCCATGTAAGAGCACTTCCTAACGCAGAGTACTTTCAAAGAACTGTCAAGGAAGATCTGTGGCACAACCATGGGAGGGGTAAACTGTGAGCACAAAGGCGTGCACACAGAGGCACACCTGGAAAAAGCCTGCAGGACATGCAAAGGGAAGCTGTTCAGCAGTCTGTGTGGACTGACTGAGGCCGTTACTCTTTATTTTCTTTGTCCTCTCTTCCTCGAAATGGCCACACTTGGCCCCGGCTTTCCAGACCCACTAGAGTCCGGGACTGATTCAGGGAGGATGGAGGAGGCTGCCCCTCCACAGCTGGGAAAACAGCAGCTGCAGATGAACGCTGGGTCCCACCCTGTCAATGTTTAGTTTCCTCCTGGGCGGACAAGGCTGAAGACTGGAAGCATGGACATGAATCCAGGCTCAGAAGACCCTTCAGATGTCCCCAGGCAGCTGGGCTCTCAGAACCTTCCTGGTCAGTGGCTGTTTCTTATGAATGAGCACAAGGAGGGCACTCTCTGCTGTTCACTGGGTCAACTTAGCGGTGAGGCTCTGTGCCTTGTCTGCATCTAGAACAGTGAGGTAGATACTGTGCCTGTCTCTTTGGGATGTCTTGTATACAGTTTGCACATAAGCACATGCACAAGGCCCCTTCGAACTGCACTGGCCTCCCTTACATGCTCATTAACCAGTTCAGGTTACAGCCCAGGGGTAGTCAAAAATGGTGGGAGCTTGAAGCAGCTAGTCACAGCCACAGGCAAGAGCAGGGAGAGGATAAGTATGGGCATACTGCTCAGCTCCCTTTGTTTTGTATACAGTTAAGCACCCAAGCCCAGAGAATGGTACTGCCCACTTTTAGGCTGGGTCTTCCCACATCAGTTCATGCAGTCAAGACAACCTCCACCACTGCACATGCACCAAGCCAACCAGATCTAGAGAACCCCTCACTGAGACTCATTTCCCAAGTAATACTACATCGTGTCAAGCTGATAATTAAAACTATGACACTCCTTTCTTCATCTACAAAGGCAAGCCCCTCCCCCGAGTCATCTCCCTTTTCTTCCAGATAGTGTGCTGGCTAGTTTTATGTCAGCTTGACAGAAGCTAGTCATTTGAGAGATGAGAACAACTGAGAAAAATCCCTCCGTAAGATCCAGCTAGAAGCAAAACTGTATGGCATTTTCTTAATTAGTGATGGATGTAGGAGGTCTCAGTCCATTGTGGGTGGAGCTACCCCTGGGCTGGTGATCCTGGGTTCTATAAGAAAGCAGGCTGAGCAAGCCATAGGGAGCAAGTCAGTAAGCAGCACTCCTCCATGGCTCTGCATCAGCTCCTGCCTCCAGGTTCCTGCTCAATTCGAGTTCCTGTCCTGACTTCCTTCAGTGATGGACTGATTCAGGATGTATAAGCCAAGTTGCTTTTGGTCATGGTGTTTCATCACAGTGATCTTTGTAAACCTAGCAAGGACAGGAAGGAAGCCTCCACCTTCAGAACAGAAGGCACGCAAAGGAAAGACCCCCAGGACTCTGCCAGTGGTGGCTCTTGTGGAGTCTGCCAGTGGTGGCTCTTGTGGAGTCTGCCAGTGGTGGTTCTTCTGGAGTGGCTACCTTGGTTACTCAGCCACACCCATGCTCCTGGGCACCACAGACATCCGTGGGTATTGTAGTCCCAGCTGTCAGCGTCAGAAAGTGACTGTGCCTGACCTGAGCAGAAGGGACATCAAGAGCATCCGATTTGACTCGGCTCATGGGGAAGACAGGCCAACCTTCTTCACATTAGCAGAGGTGTATGCCACAACATACTTTTCAAACAGTAAGTGGTCAAAAAAAACATAATCTAACAGTAAAATTACATCTTATTTAAGGGCAAAGACCCTGACTTCAACGTCCCAAGGGACTAAGTCCTACCACCTGTCCCAAGATGCCCATCAAGGGGACAAGCAGCAGTAAAGGCGGGACAAGAATCAGAATTGGCACACCTGTGCTGGGAATACAGAGGGCCTGGCATCCTCACTTCTGCCTTGGGGGGATGAAGCTACCTTTAAGGGTACCAGGTCATCAGCCTGCCTTCAGGGGAACTGAGTCCTCAGCCTGCCTTCAGGGGAAATGAGTCATCAGCCTGCCTTCAGGGGAACTGAGTCCTCAGCCTGCCTTCAGAGGTACTGAGTCCTCAGCCTGCCCTCAGAGGTGCAACCAAAAACATAAAAAGGAATGAAGGGGGCAAAAAGAAGTGGCACAACCATGCAGCCTTGCTGAAAATGGTCTGGTTGATCACAGCTCAGGCCTGCTTCTGCAGACCTCCATTTAGTTCCTACTGTGACATCTGCTTGTATAGAGGGGGCAGCCCCTGTCCCACCATGAGGTAACTGCTCCTACATGAGGGGTAGCCTGTAGTGGGGAGCCATTCCAGCTTTGATCTGGAAGTTCCAACCCCCATTGAGGCTTTGGTAACCGTCATGCCTACAAGGCAGGGCGGAGAGAGGACCCTGAAGACTGGAGATCTGGATGCGCTGGCTCTCTTGGTTCCTGGACCCTGGACACTGGAGGTAGACCGAGCAGAGTTCTCCAGAGAATACTGCCGGACTGTGCCACACCTTTCCCAGACCCTGTTATCTATCCCTTCACTTGTAAGTTACCCCACAAAATAAACCTCCCTTTTAACTACGTGGAGTGGCCTTAATAATTTCACCAATAGTAGCCTTAGTTCCTGTCATGGGGTAATCACTCCACTTAGGCATGGGCAAGTTACTTTTGCTGTGTGGTGGAGATACATTGGTGGGAATGGACACTTAGAACCCGTTAATAAGTGCACACATAACCATAAACAGTCCCCAGGCTCACCCTCTCTCTCCACCTCTGCAGCTGCTCTGTTCCCTTTGCTTTCCTCTCCCCTGAGAAACCAGAACTGTGACATTGGTAGCAGAGGTTTTCTAGTGTTTATTTGATTTTGGGTTTGTTTTGTCTGTTTTTTGTTTTTTTTAAACTCTGGGTGGCTAGAAGGCCACAGGCCCCTCCCTGCTTCTGCTTCTCCCAAGCCCATCTCACTCTCATCCTTCCCAATCTCTCTATGTTAGGCAGCTAGTTAGAAATTACAAGGCACCCTGGTGGTAATGGTGCATACCTTTAATCCCAGCACTTGGGAAGCAGAAGCAGGCGGATCTCTGTGAGTTTGAAGCCAGCCTGGGCTATAGAGTGAGTTCCGGGACAGCTAGGACTGTTTCACAGAGAAACCCTGTCTTGGGGGAAGAAAGAAAAAGAAAGAAAGAAAGAAAGAAAGGAAGGAAGGAAGGAAGGAAGGAAGGAAGGAAGGAAGAGAGAAAAAAAGAAAGGAGGGAGGGAGGGAGGAAGGAAGGAGAGAGAGAGAGAAAGAAAGACAGAAAGGAAGGAAGGAAGGAAGGAAGGAAGGAAGGAAGGAAGGAAGGAAGGAAGGAAGGAAGAAAGAAGGAGAGAGAAAGAGAGAGAAATTAATTACAAGGCTTGCAGGACCCTGGAGCTGTACTCACCTTCACAAACAAGCAGCAGCTGGTAAAGAATTGAAAACAGGACTTATCTATTATCAGTGTGTGTGTGGCAGTTCCAGTCTTTATCTCCAAACTGTTTTCTCTCATGACGATTTTGACCCCACTCCCGCCCTACTCTCCTGTTACATTAGTGACTGAACTCCATCCAGTATCCTCAGACAAGCCCCTGGGCTCCTTGGTTCAGGATCTATACTGGAGACCAAAAGAATGCAAATATGTTAAATTTGCAATGTCCCCTCCCTTTCCCCAAATCAGGGCTTTATAAGTCTAACTAGCATCCAGAAGGACCCTCAGACTTAAAATCTGTAGAGTCACCTGCCTCAAAGGACAAGACCAAAACATGCCCCTGTGGTCTCATCCCCAATTCCTTCCTCTTGCAGTTTCACACTATAGCCCCTAAGGACCTCATCCTCGGTGCCTTTGTTTAAGGTTCCCTCCCCTGGGTGGCCTGTCCCTGCCTCCAGGGCTTGTTCTGCACTGCAGGGCAGGTACCAAGTGAGTGGAGCCTTCCTGTGGGCTGGCTGCATAGGTCCCACTTGTGCTATGGCAACGCCATTGTCACAGTTTCTGGTCCTCGGTATTCCCCTCCCCACCCCACCCACCCATCCTGTGTGTCACCATTAGGACACTCTTGCCTCTCCTCTGAGTTTTCTCAAGAGCATCAGTCCTTCTGGCAGGACACAGGCCCTGGCTATCAGATGGTGCCAGTGTTAGGGTCCTGGGGAAGTCTCCCAAAAGACAACCATATACATATGCAATCAACAAGAGCATTTATTATCTCAAGAATAAAGGTACCAGCATGCTGGGACCACACATCTGACACAAAGGCAAAATGGCAACTCTGAGAGAGGCTTGCAGGCTCCTTTTATGCACAGCTAAGAGGAGTTTCAGGGACAGTTAGGTCGTCTCAGATATGACTGGCTTACACGAGTGGGAATCATATTGGTACATTCCTAATTGGCTAGGGCTAGCAGGGGCTGGCTAAGGCTATAGCTTTTCCATTTTGGGGGCAGGCTAGACAAGTCCCAGGCTTTGTCCTTATTTGGTTATTACCTTGAGCTGCTGTGGGGGGCTGGCTCAGGCCTACTATGTGCTGGAGGGGGGGCTTGCTCAGATCCAGTATGTGCTACCTCCCTCATCCCTACTGTGAGGGGCATTGACAATTGATTGTCCTCTGTTCGTGACTTCCTCAGAAGTGGCCTGCTCAATTTCAAGAAGCAGGAACTGAGGCCTAATTCTTAACTGAGTTTTTTGGAGCCTGTCATGATATTTGTCTAGCCCTCTGAGCCAGACCTTCTAGGTACAGGTTCCTGGGGATCGGGAGAGTTGAGGATTTGGCCTCCTGGGCCAGGGAAACTCACCAAGCCTGAATCCTTTCTCTGAAGCAGGAGGGGCCGCTGGATGAATCAGAGGGCCTGCAGTACAGCTTCTTGGCCAGAAGACCCACCTCACTTTTCCCCCAGGAGGTCACAGGTCATCAGTACCTCAGGAGGATTGGTCCCAGGACCCCCACAGACAGCAGACTGTGCCAAAGAGACATGAGGCCAGCACTGTTCAAGGCCAAGGCTGGAGAGTAAGGAGCCTTGAGGGGGAGCTATGGCAGCGTACACCCACACACTACTACACTCACATGCATTTAGCATGGGACCAACTCAAGTTTTACAGAACTTTCTGGATTGTTTTCTCTGAATGTTTTGACCCATGTTTCATTGAATTTGCAAGTATGGAATCCAAATTATGAAAGTTCCTGCCTCCCCCACAGCTCCAGTTTTGGATAGGCTTGGAGGCAGGGGAATGAAGGGAAAAGCAAGCCATACTCACATTAGTATTCCCCCATGTCCCAGCTCAGTGGCCATGCACTGTATACTGCCATTACATTTCCTCCTGAGGCAGGCTCCCTGAGGCCAGTATCACTGCCCCACCTGTCAAGTGAGGAGACCCAGGCTAAATGAGGTGACAGCCCTTCCTAAAACCTGTCCCGCACCTTATGGGACGGAGCAGCCAGTGACTTCATTGTGACCCAGGCCTGGTGCTTCAGAGACTTTTGGATAAGCACAAGATGTTAGGAAAGGGTGGTCAGGTTGGGGAGGCCTCCTGTAGGAACTCTGGTACTGTACTCACAGGCACTGGGATGTGATGCTGTCTTCCCAGGCTCAGCCTCTATTTATCCCCTGGGGTCTTTTTCACTCCTTCTCTCTGTCTCCCAAGCCAGGTGCTCTGAGAACCTTGAGATTTGTCCTAGGAGGTCCTGGTTCCAGGAGGGTGTCAGGCTGAGAGCATACCCACCAGCCAGATAGCCCTTGGGTGACTTCAGGATATATGCCAGGGCTCTGCTACTCTAAGGACAGTAGCTGCCACATGGTGCTCAGACACTTCCCAGAACCCCCACCCTGCTTTTGTGACTCCCTTGTCACCTGAGACTATAAATCCGTTGAGTTTCACAAGAAGGGCATGCTGACACCTGTGGGCAGGTGCCCCACCTGCCAGCCCCCCTCATGTTTTACCAACCCATCCGAATCACAGCAACATCCCTGGCAAGGGACAGTTTAATGTCACAGACTAATGCACCGGGAAGGCAGCATCATCACCAGGTCCCCTGCAGGAATGTGTGACCTAGCTCTAACCCCCAGAAAACTTCAGACCCTCCCCAACTGGCATTCTTCAGATAGCAGCTGGCTTGTTCTTCAGAAATGTCAAGGTCATGAAACACAAGGGAACACAGAGGAACTGTTTCAGCTGACAGGAGGTTTGAGGGACACAAGTGACGTCAGTAGCAGATCCTGCAGGGATCCTGGGTCCTGGCAGGACCCTGTGGATACTGCACGTAAGACTTGAATGGGATCTATGAGCTGGCTGCCAGTTCTGGATCAACATTGGTGCTGTGATTATGTAGGAGAATGCCCTTGTTTCCAGGAAATACATACTGCATTTATTCTCAAGTAATTCTGAGAAAGCAAAATATATATACATCTATATGCAATAGATTTATAGGTGCATAAGACAATGTTTTGAACTGTTAATAACTCCATGTGCCTGAAATTTTTGTGTGTAGGTCTGCGCACTTGCAGGTCAAGAGTCTTCTCAATCTCTCTCTGTATTTTTAAAACATTTTTTAAAATATTATGTGTATGAGTGTTTACATTCATGGTCACCACATTCTGTCTGGTGCCCACGGAGGCCAGAGAAGGGTGTCAGGTCCCCTGAAACTGTAATTACACAGTTGTGAACCACCATGTGGGTGCTAGCAACTGAACCCAGGTCCTCCCCAAGAGCATTAATGATCTTAACTGCTGAGCCATTTTTCTTGAGACAGGCTGACTCATCGATCCTAGAGATCACTAATTCAGCTGGACTGGCTGGCCAGCAAGCCCCATGGATTTTCCTGTCTGCTTTCCCCTGTCACTGGGGTTCCAGGCATGTGTTGTCATATGTGGCTTCTCTTTTATGTGTGTGCTGGGGATCCAAACTCAGGCCCTCAGGTTTGACTCTCCCTAAGCCATCTCACCAGCCTCATGAGTTTCTATATAGAAACTTCCAGTGCCATTAGGGAACTATTCAGTAAATTTGGTATTATTTCATGATTAAGAAATAAATTAAGAGGGATTTTATTTTATTCTTTTGTCTTAAGATGGTATCTGCTGTAGTCCAGATGGTCCTTGAACTTAGCTGTGTAGCTGAGGAGGACCTTGACCACATCTGGTTTTATGTGATACAGGGGATGGAACCTAGCGTGTTGTGCACACTAGGCAAGCACTCTACCAACTGAGCTCTGTCTGTTAGAACCCAGGCCTGGACTTTAGGCCAGACCCCACAGCCTGCATCAGGCAGGCCAGGCATCCCTGCAGCTGGGCAGTGAGGAAGCAGTCTTGCCGTACCTTGACAGTTCTCAATTTATGGTCCCTGGCTCCGCCGTGCTCTTTGTCATGTATGCGATGATGAAGTAAGCCGTGTGACAAAAGGGTATAGAAGGTCAGACCTCTCCTTTGCTCTGGGAACTGGTCTGACACTCCCCAGGGAGAATGTTCAGAAGGAACTCTGAAGCCCCTCCTCCATTCTTACTTTTTTATGAAGCAGGGTATCACTACATCACCCTGGTTAGTCTGGCATTCTCTATGTAGACCAGGTTGGTCTGGAACTCACAGAGAACTTCCTGCCTCTGCCTCCTGAATTGGCTCTCTTTCTCACTCTTTTTTTTTTTTTTTTTTTTTTTTTTTTTTGGTTTTTCGAGACAGGGTTTCTCTGTGTAGCTTTGCGCCTTTTCCTGGAACTCACTTGGTAGCCCAGGCTGGCCTCAAACTCAGAGAGATCCGCCTGGCTCTGCCTCCCGAGTGCTGGGATTAAAGGTGTGCGCCACCACCACCTGGCCTCTTTCTCACTCTTAAAGAAGGTTCTCAACCTTCCTAATGCTATGACCCTTCAATACAATTTCTCATGTTGTGGTGACCTCCAGCCATAAAATTATTTTGTTATTACTTCAAAACTGTGATTTTGCTGCTGTTATGAATCATAATGTAAATACCTGATAGGGGACCCCAAGGGGGTCATGACCCACAGGTTGAGAACCACTGTTCTAGAGGGACTCCCATCCTTCCCTGTTTCTATCATATTCAGATCTCCATCTACTGTATTGCTTGTCTACAGCAATGTCTAGTTCTCCCTCCCTCCTCGAAGCCCCATCTCAGCCCTGAGACCTTCCCGTTCTATGTGGACCGACAATTCAGAGCATTTACAACCAAAAACTATAATAAAATGGCTGCCACAACTAAGCATCTATTTTGTATTATGACATTAGCTCATTTCATCTAACTCTGACCACACAAGGTCAATTCTGCTCTTCCAAGGTCACACGGTATGTAAGCAACACAGGTGGCCATGCTAGCCGGCAAAAGCTCTGCTCTCAGCCCTTTGAGCCCAGGAAGCAGACACCAGTCAGGGCAACATCAATGGAGACAGGGTCTAAGGGGAGCCAAGAGTACCTGGAGGGCTTCCCATAGAAAGTGACGCTGGGCCTTGAAGCATGTGTAGGAGTTCTGGAAAGAAGCTCTCTGGGTAGCAGAAAGGGCAAGGGCAAGGCCTTAGAAATTTGGAAGGACAGGTCTCTGGGGTGTTTCTGGGCCATACCAGCTTGGAGGTGGAAACACTGGCTTTTTGTTGCTGCCTACAAATGCCTTTCATGTGACACCAGGAGTCCTGGCATCCCATAGTCACTCTTGAATTTCCCAATGTGAAATTCAAGACTGTGGACGCTGTAGGTATGAGAGACCCTCAGACATTTGGCAACTAACTGCCTTCCACGCTCTTCCTGTGTTCCTGTGGGGCCTCCTGGGATCCAAGAAGCCCTCCTTCCCTCCTTGGCCCTTCGATGCCTCTCAGCTGAGAGTCTGAGTGAGCCACTTCACTTCTCTGAGCTCAACTTCCTATCTGTGAAGCAACCCCCCCACCTCCCCACCCCCACCCCAGGCCAACCCCAGCCCCACCCCCTGATAGCTTTGGAAGTCAGAGGATGATTAAAAGAGAGTGTCAGTCAGGGCCTTGGAGGGCTCTTCGCTTGTTTTGTTTTTGGAATAGATTCAGCCCTTCCAAGATGGTGGCTGTTCTTATGGTTAAGGCCTTGGAACCCAGAGGGGGACTGAGACATCTGGGTATACTGAGCCTGAGGAGGCAAGCATGCAGCTCATGAGCAGGCTCTTCCTTTCCTTCCTCCTGTCCTTTGCTCTATGCTCCTGGTTTGAGCTCCTTTGTACCACTAGGGGCACAGTGAAGCCTGCAGCAGAGCTTGGCAGGAAAATCTGGCTGCAGGACAGCCCTTCACTTCTTCAGCTTGACCATCACCACCGTCATGTCATCATCATCATCACCATCACCACCATCACCACTATCATCACCATCATCACCATCACCATCACCATCACCACCATCACCATCACCATCACCATCACCACCATCACCATCATCACCATCATCACCATCATCGTCACCATCACCACCGTCATATCATCATCATCACCATCATCATCACCATCATCGTCACCATCGCCACCGTCATCATCACCATCATCGTCACCATCATCACCATCACCACTATCATCACCATCATCACCATCACCACTATCATCACCATCATCACCATCACCACCATCACCATCACCACCATCACCATCACCACCATCACCATCATCACAATCACCATCACCATCACCATCACCACCATCACCATCATCACCATCATCACCATCATCGTCACCATCGCCACCGTCACCATCACCACCATCACCATCATCGTCACCATCACCACCGTCATATCATCATCACCATCATCATCATCATCGTCACCATCACCACCGTCATCATCACCATCATCATCACCATCATCACCATCACCATCATCACCATCACCACCACCACCATCACCATCATCACCATCATCATCACCATCATCATCACCATCACCATCATCACTCCTGCAGCTCTAGCTTGGCCTAGTAGATCTAGTCCATAGTGCTCAGAGGGGAAGCAAAGGAGGAACCCAGGGCAGCATTGTAGCCATGAGGTGTACATGGAGGACGTATTTGGAGACAGCCACTCTCCCAGCTGCCCTCAGACTTCCAGGAGCTGAGGGGAGCCAGGTCTTGGGGTCTTAGGGCTGAGAAAGGAGGTGGCTTCTGAGGCAGCCAGTCCCCTGAGGAGCCATAGGTGGTGAGAATGAAAAGGAACCAAGCAACTCTAATGAGAGGTGGGACAGTGGGTCTCCCACTTGCTATTCTCAAGGCCTAGCTGTCCCATGCTGGAATTATGCCTCTCCTAGCAGGCCTTCCTTGCTTCAACCAAGTCAGGGAGCAACACCAGGAAGAGAATAGCCTTCAGTTAATTGCCAAATGTCCAAGAGGCTGGTGTCCTCTAGTACCAAGTGACTCAAAGGGCCCCTTGGAATCTAGGAGAGACTCGGCATGCTGTGGGATGGTCTGTATGTCAAATTGCTCTGATTGGTCAATAAATAAAACAGGAAGGCGGAACGAGACACTGCCAGCCGCCACCAGGACAAGCAGTATGTGAAGATGTCGGTAAGCCACAAGCCACGTGGCAAGGTATAGATTTATAGAAATGGTTTAATTTAAGATATAAGAACAGTTAGCAAGAAGCCTGCCACGGCCATACAGTTTGTAAGCAATATAAGTCTCTGTGTTTACTTGGTTGGGTCTGAGCAGCTGCGGGACTGGCGGGTGAGAGAGATTAGTCCTGACTGTGGGCCAGGCAGGAAAACTCTAGCTACACTCGGCAGCATAGCAAAGTAGAGGAGGCCCTCTCGAATTACTGTCAGAGTAAAAAGTGTCAGATGTCCCTTGGGTCCTGTTCCATTAGCTAAGTTCTCCACAAGAGCCTGTCTGCCCTGCGCCCGCATATCCTACACATACACTTCTATACCTGCACCCCAAGCCAGGATCAGGGAGTTACCACAGCATACACTGGAAGCCAGGCACCCACCGAGGAGGAGGGCTCTGCTCATCACTTAAGCCGCTTTGAGTCCGGATAGCTGGACAGGGTGTGGAGTGTTGATGAAGCAAGCGTACATTCTGAGCAGAGTAAAAGTCCAGGCTAGAGAGGGCTCCGTGGTTAAAAGAATGTATCATAGCTCATGCAGAGGACCTGGATTCGACACCCAGCACCCACTTCAGACATCTTACAACTGTAGTCTAAAGATTTCCTGTGTCCCCTCACTAGGGGGCGATGCTTCAGGGCATGGCTCAAACAGCCACCCACTACTACAACTGTCTGTAATTCCAGCTCAGGGAGATCTGACACCTTCTTTTGGCCTTTGAAGTCACACACACACACACACACACACACACACACACACACACACACACACACACTTTTTTTTTTAACTTAGGAAGACCAGAAGTCCATAGGAATAAAAGAAATGACACCAGGGTATATGCACAGTGTCAAGATTTCATGAACCTGGGACATCTGTTCTGTGTGTGTTCTGACATCACTCTACATTTTATTTTATTTTCAAAGATGTATTTATTTATTTTTACTTTGTGTGCATGAGTGTTTTGCCTGAGTGTATGTCTGTATGTGAAAGTGTCCAAGATTGTTTTCTAAAAATGGCATTTTATGACAGGTCATGGATCCGGGCTGCCTGTGGGTATGGAAGGGAGGTTCTGGATGAGGTGCAAAGGGGGGAAACCCAGGGACAAGTCTTCCTGGAAACTCCCCCTCACCTCCTCCTGAAAGACAGTGACCATTACCTGACTCGGTATGGTCGCACAGGGGGAGCAGCAGCCAGCCCTCCCTGAGCCTTGGCGAGGATCCCCGTGAAACATCTGGCAGGCCCTGTGTACACAGCTCTGTGTTCCTTCCTATGCAGGGCGGGAGACTCCAGCTAAGACAGACGCAGCAGGAGGGGGGACCGCTTAGAACCAGGTGGGACAGACAGCAGGAGAGGGGGACCGCTTAGAACCAGGTGGGGCAGACAGCAGGAGGGGGGACCGCTTAGAACCAGGTGGAAAGGAAACCTCGGGAGGACCCAGGCTTCCTTAGACTTCGTAAAATCCAGGGGGTGAGAAATCTTGAGCCTCTGAAGCCCAGCCCCTTCTGGTCACCATGGAGACTTGGACAGCCTGACGGGGTCCCGCCCACCGGGGGCCTGAAGCTACTGCAGTCCCAGGGCAGGGGCTGTAGAACTACCCTGTCCTGTGAGCAAAGCTGAAAGGGGTTTCGAGGTCCCCACCTTGCCCCTCCAGCCAGGCGCCCCCGGCTCCCGATGGCATGAGGAGCATCTTGGCATTAAGAATAGCCTGCTGTTGCCGGGCGGTGGTGGCGCACGCCTTTAATCCCAGCACTCGGGAGGCAGAGGCAGGCGGATCTCTGTGAGTTCGAGGCCAGCCTGGTCTCCAAAGCGAGTTCCAGGAAAGGCGCAAAGCTACACAGAGAAACCCTGTCTCAAAAAAAAAACCAAAAAAAAAAAAAAAAAAAAAAAAAGAATAGCCTGCTGTCCTTTCAAAGCTCAAGTTCTCATCGCCAGCAAGAGGGGTGAAATGTGTGAAAACAAATACCTGGTTAAGAAAACTGTGGGCTGAGGAAATGATGAAATTTTGAATTCTGGGCGAGAACATTCGCTGCTTATTATTCAGAAAAAGGGGACCTTGCAAGGCTACCCAGTGTGATCCCATTTCTGAGAGAAAAACAAACAGGCAAGACCAAGTACGCTTGCCAGGAAAAAAATAGGACAGGAGAAAATTAAAATATGTTTGGTCTTGTTTCTTGGAGAAGAGTCCACGTAACTTATTCTCGTGTTTATTTCGGAAGCTCTGGCTAATGCTGCCATCTGGATTCTCTTTCCCTGCTTTTCCTGCTGTAAGGCCATTCAGTCCTCACGTTAAGCTAGGGACAAAGGTGATAGTCTGTCTCCCTATTCTCCAGAAGAGGAAACCGACGTTCAGAGAAGCTCAGAGATGCTGAGACTTGTCTAATGTCAACCTTAGAGAGTAGCAGAGATATCAAGGACGAGACTCCAGAATTAGAGCCTTCAAAAAAATTCCCCTAAGGCCTCCCAGACCGGAGGTTGGGGGAGGGAGTGAGGTTGGGGTGGCGGGTGCTGGGGAGGAAAGCTCCAAAGGTTCTGTTTTCTGAAACATCTTACTAAGAAAATTACCAAAGGAATAGAAAATAGATAGTGTTTCTCAATGTGGTCACCACCCAGCTTCGAAGAAAGCCTTAAAGGAGGTGGGGAGGAAGACTCGGGGAAGGGGATGGGGGTGCTTAGGAAGAGGGATCAGCCCCAGAGCCACAGGCTTCAACAGGCTTGCTCGTGCATGCATGTATGTGCGCGCGCACGTGCACGGCACATGCGCACATGCCCAAGTTCGCACAGACCTCCAGGCTCCACTGGGGCAGCCCCTGGACTGGTCCCCAACGTTGATGGGGAACCGCAGCTGCCCTCCCCCTCCCGCCCCCACGGGTGCCTTCCTCCTTCCTCTTTCTACTACTGCCCTGCCCTTCCACAGACGGCTTCTTCGTTTGTCTCCAGTTCCCCTCCGAGGCCTTGAGGTTTGGGCTGCCCTGGAGGACATGGCCTGGGGCCCTGACAACGTGCGGAAATGGTCTACCCTGGCGCTTCTGGCCATAATGGGCACAGCCCTGACTGCGGCCATCAACCCTGGCTTCGTGGCCACAATCTCCCAGAAGGGTCTGGACTTCGGTAATTGGATGCCTTTCTTCCTTCCTCCTTTATCCTGAGAGGCACTTACTGAGCATTTAGGGTGTACAGCCCTTTAAATCTGGTGGTTGGCAAGCTCATAGCTCTGCTGGGGAGACCCCCATCCCTCTGTTTTATATAGGAAGAAAACTAAGGCACAAGCTCCTAGGGCTGGAAGTAGCAGAGCTGGGGCTGGACCACTGTTCTAAAAGATTCCAAATGCCCCCCGACCCTGAAGGTCTTCATGGTCCCCTCTCTCTACACTGTCCCTTGGCGCAAATTTCTAGGCCCTTTCTTTCCAAAGCCTGGCGTCTGCCTTGCCTCCTTTGCTAGAGGCTGAGCAGGCTGGGAGAGGGCCTCTCTCCAGTGAGATGTCCAAACTCAGCTGGCAGACCCAGAGAAAGCCATCCCTGACTACTCCCCCAACCAGGCAGGTAACAAATCCGCTCACCTGCCCTCGCTGCCCGGCGCCTCACAGACCCACCGGGTCCCGTTTCTTCCACTGAAGGACTGGGTGGGACACACCACTCCTGTCCACTCCTGCAGGTGAGCCCACCCGAGTCGCGAGTAGCGCAGTGGCTCTGAGAAGTCCGCATCTGCCTTTGAGCTCAGGTCCTCGCTGAGGTCCTCCACGGAGCTTCTTGGTGCTGCCCCCCGGTGACAGAGAGAGGAACTGCAGAACTCAGGATCCCAGCTCAAACCAGACGAGGCTGAGACAGGTCCTCAAAACCAGTGTGGCCAGGGGATCTGCTGTCCTACTCCAGAACTCATGTTCCAGCCTAGGCAGGATGTTTCAGAATCACAGGGATGCAGACAGATTCACCCATTGAGCTTTGAAGGTTGTGTTTAAACCCAGAGCTGATGTGTGTGTGTGTGTGTGTGTGTGTGTGTGTGTGTGTGTGTGTGTGTGTACATGTACTCACATGAGTGCATGTGTTGACAGCTTTGGGGGATCAGAGGCTCAGCCAGAAGTCCTCATGTGCTACAGCTGCTTCACTTTTCTCTTCTACTGATGTCCCATGTGGCAACTGGAGTGAGTTTCTGGAAGTGTGGCAAGCCTATTCATATATGTGCCTTGCTCCCCATGCCCCACACCCAAAGGCTGACCCTGGGGCCTGAGCTCAGGGAACAAGAGGCTTGCATTCCCTGCCTCTGTCTACCACAGGTCAGCTGTGAGCTCTTGAACAAAGCACTGGCCTTCCCCAGCCTGTTTCCTCTTGTGGGGGGTGGAAGGGGGTGAAAGGCTCCTCTTCCTAGCATTGCTCAGCTTTGCAGCAAGCAGTGCCTGATGGGCAGGAAGATTCCGTGCATTTTATTGTGGCTATTGCTGGTTATGACTACCTCCCAGTTGGTTCCTGGGAAACCGGAAGTGTTCAGCTCACCTCTCTGCCTCCCTCCTCTCCCCTCGGGCGACATGTTTGCCTGTTAATTGGATCCTTGACGCTGTTAGCCACAGCGTCACTGGTGGCAGAATTCCTGCCTTTGGGGCATTCATTTATTTACCCAACAAATAGTAAGTGCCAGGCACCACGGTAAATACCAGAGACGCATTAATACATAAAAACTGACAGTGCAGCTAGCTTCTGGGGACTTTCATTTAGCAAAGGAGAGCAACATCAATCAGAGTCATGGTGAATAGATGCCTAATTACAGAGAAAGATGGGTGCTTCAGATGAGACATTCAAGACTGCGAAGATAGTACTACTGTCTGTGTCAGGGAAGCTTCCTGCAGGAAGTTAGGAGTTGAACAGGTGGATGAATAGCAGGAGCTGCATGTCCAAAGACCCTGCAGAGATTGTCTGGAGGAATGGGGTGGGTGTCAGTGCGAATACAGCCCAGAGTAAGGTGCGGAGAAAGATGCTTGGCTGGATGTTTGGGAGTGATATATCTGACCAGGATTCACAAACTATAGCCCAAAGGCTCAGTGTGGTTTGCTGTATATTTCTGTATGACCTACAAGCTAGTAAGGTTTTTGTTTTGGAAGGGGTGTATGTGTGTACATGATCATGGGGGTGAGCACACATGTGTGGGTACCTCTCGGAGCCAGGGGAAACCTCAGGTGTTGTCCCTGAGGAACCATGCACTATGTGTGTGGGTGGGTGGGGATTCTTCATGTTCACGTGTGGAGGGGGGACATACATGGTTGTGTGTGAGTGAGGGTGCCCATGTGTCATGTGGATGCCAGAAGATGACACTGTGTGTCGACTTTCTTGATCCCTCTCCATTTTACATTTTGAGGCAAATCTTCAACCCAGAGCTCATTGATAGAGCTGTTCTAGCCAGCCAGCTTGCTCTGGGAACCCTGTCTCCATCTCTTAGGCACTGGCATTATAGACAAGTTACCACACCATCCAGCGTTTATGTGGGTCCTGGGGACCTGAGCTCTGGTCCTTATCCTGTGCAGCAGTGACTTTAGCTACTGAGCCAACCCCAAGCAGTTGCTTTGGTTTTTAGAGATAGGGTCTTGCTATATGGCCTTAAATAGAAGCTCTCCTGCCTCAGCGTTCCCAATGCTGGGATGACAGGTGCACCCACACACCCCTTAAAGATGGTCTTTGTAGTTCAAATGGTTTAAACAAAAAAATCAAGAGAAGAATGGACCACCACACACGAAGGGTTGTTCCAGGGTTTCCAGCGCAGTGTCGGGACATGGCCACCTTCCTGTCTTTGCCTCAGTGATACCAGAGTGGCACACAGTGTGGGAGGAATGGGTGAGCCACAGGCTCCAGATGCTGGCTGTCTGAAGACAGACTCCTGCTCCACCCCGCCCATCCCACTGCCATCGCTGAGGACAGGCCCAGGGGTCGGGAGCCTTGGGGAACCTCCAGCCCTGCTCCAGAGCTGAGCTCTGAGCTTGTCTCTGCTCTGTCCTCCAGCATGCCAGGAGGGTGTGATCGTGCTGCAGAAGGAGCTAGAAGCCATCAGAATTCCTGATCTCTCTGGAGTCTTTAAGATGAAGCCACTGGGAAAAGGTTACTACGACTTCTACAAGTGAGGCTTGCGAAGGCTTAGTCCTCCAGACATGGGTTGTGGGGACCTAAGTCCTGTGGCCACCAAGTTCTCAGCTCATTGACTTCAACACTCCACAGGCAGAATGCACACCAGTCTGAGGGGATACCGCACCTCAGGCTAAGCATAGAGGAAGCCACCAAAACTGTCTTTCTAGCACCCTCCACCACTCCCACAGGAGACATCTTGAAACCAAACCCCTGTGCTACACACATGTATTTCAGGGACAGAAAAACAGCCTGTGCCCGAAGGCATTGCCTCACATGACTGGGTAGTCCAGCTTTGACACGCTTGAGCTGGGCTCGTGTGTCACTGGACCATTGGTCTCTCTTGCCACCTCTCAGTGTCAGGTCCTTTCAATCTTCCAGAGACAAGAGAGCTACCAGGTAATTCTAAGAGCACAATCCCTTCAGCTCTCTGTCCAGGAAGAAGCCTTCTTTCTCCTTGCAACACAAACCAAAGTTCTGAGGTACACTCTGATTGACCCAGTTTAAATAATGTCCATGCCCCTGAACCAATCACTATGCCAGACGAGTAGAAAAAAAAAACAATAGACTAAGCTTAAGTCCCGCCCCCAAGAAAGACAGACGGGATCCTAGCATGGACTGGGTGAGTCGGGCTCCCCAAAGTACATTTGCAGGTCTGCTGTCCCAAGAAAGGGGATGAGGCTGCTGGGCAGAAAACCCCCAAGTGTTTCCTACAGAATTTTATGCCGAGTCCATTCAGCAGACATCTGCAGCACCTACTGTGTGTCTTCCGCAGACATCTGAAGTACCTACTATTGTCACAGCAACAGATTTCACATTCCAACAGTGAGAACAGGTGGACACATTCCACCCCTATACAGAGCCGGCAGTCAAGGCTCAGCAGTCTTCCACCTTTGTTGACAGTTACTCACCCTACAAGATGGAGACTGCCTGTCCATTGTGAACCCAAGGAGCCTAAGATGCAGAGAGACCGATTGACACAACCAGGGTGGCATGTGGGTGAAGGGCCTCACAAAGCCCTCCTGGCCCAGGATGCTGACTGGGACCTTTTCCTCCACAGCATGGTTGTGGAAGGATTTCATATTCCTAATCCCCAGATCAGTCTGCTGCCCAGTGAGGGCCTCCGGCTGTCCATCAAGAATGCCAGCATCAAGATCAGTGGCAGATGGACATCAAAGAAGAACTTCCTGTGAGTCTCATGTGCAAGGATTGCTGGGTGGACTGGTGGCATTTGCAGGGCCCAGAGCCAGGGTATTGGGAATATCCACTTCTGCTTTGTCTATAGACATGTGTCACCACAGGGTCCCTGTGGGGAGGAGGGGAAGTCACTTAAAAACACTCTACCCTAGCCGGGCGGTGGTGGCGCACGCCTTTAATCCCAGCACTCGGGAGGCAGAGCCAGGTGGATCTCTGTGAGTTCGAGGCCAGCCTGGTCTCCAAAGCGAGTACCAGGAAAGGCACAAAGCTACACAGAGAAACCCTGTCTCGAAAAACCAAAAAAAAAACCAAAAAACAACAACAACAACAAAAAAAAAACACTCTACCCTGCATGAACAGCTGAGTTGGTTCACATCTCAGTACAGGGTGTGGCAAGGCTGAGTCAGTGTGTGTGGCTCAGGAGGGAAAGCTAAGTGGGACTTTTGGTTTCTTCCTGTATTAGCTAGCTACTGTTGCTGTGTAACAAACATCCCGATCTCAGCGGCTTGAAACAGTAACCATGATGCATTGTCTGTACCTGTGTCTCAGCTAGGCCCAGCTGAGAGGTGTAGCTCCTTCTCTGAGGTCCTGTGTGTCACCCAGAGTGTAGTCTTAGTGATAGAAAAAGTACAAAAGACAGAGCTGATCATGCACATTTGTGTCCCCTGTCTTCCATAAATTTACTTCATTCCTACAGGGGAGGTGATTAATTAAGTTCATTAATTAATTACTGGGTCAGTAATTGCTTAAAGTCACGACACCAAACACTTACATTTTCAGTGACAAAACTGAGATGTACACCCCCATGTTCAGGTGCTAGTACAAGGTCTGGGTGAAGAAAGGAGCTCAGAGAGGTTAGGAAACATTCACAAAGCCACACAGCAAGGGTTGGGGGGTGGGGGAGGCAGAGTACCAGGTGAAAACAGGTTGGGATATCAGGTTAGAACCCTGACATCCAGGGTTGGGAGCTTTGCACAGCTGCCTTTTCTCTCTGATGCACCCCCACCCCTGGAGTGGGGCCAACGGGGAACCTGAGGTCCCCTGCTAACGGGAGAAGTGTGAGGAGGAAAGGGTTTGCTCCAGGTCACTTCTCTCCATCTCCTTTTCAGCAAAGCCAGAGGCAAGTTTGGCCTGAGCATCCAAGGCGTATCCTTCTCCACTGACCTGAAGCTGGGCAAGAGCTCTTCAGGCCATATCACTGTCAACTGCTCCACCTGCGAAAGTCACATCGACAGCATCCATCTCCAAATCTCGGGCAGCATGCTGGGGTAGGTCTCCGGGGGCAAACGCCCGCCCTTCCTCAGAAAGCATAGCTGTAGACTCACCTCCACACAGACCCCTTACAGAGTCTTGGGTGTGAAAAGGGCAGGGCCTGGGGGTGGGGGTGGGAGCAGGGAGAAGACACTGTCTCAAGGCACAGCTCAGTATTGATGGGCGTCCACATTCCTACCTACCATCACCTGTAAGACTGGCTCTGAACCAAGGATGCACAGAGGATGCCAGGCATTGATGAAACCTCACAAGTACCTCATCAACCAGAGCCTTGCTGTGCAGCCAACACCGCTCAGCATATTCCTGCTCTCACGCCATCTGCCCAGGGAACTAAAATAGGTCTCGTGACCACTGTGGAGCAGTCAAGGCAGGCTGTCTGACCCTAGGCCCTTCAGGCAGCCCAGCCTGTGCTCTTAAAGCACTAGGCCCATGGGGGTTGGGGCAGTGGGGGGCGGGGAACCTTAGTGGTGTTATTACATCAGAAGGGTTCACGTAGGGCGATAAGAACCTAGACTTAGGAAAGGTACAGAGTGCCCCAGATACCTAGAGCTAGAGGACCTGGCCCAGTCTGGGGGCAGGAGGAAATGACATTTGAACTGAGATGAAAAGAGTGAGTAGGTGGAAATTGGCGATGGGGTGTTTTGGACAGGGGGTACCACATGTGAAACTGTGGTGAGAGGAAGCGGAGGGTACCAGGGAACAAGGCAAGCCAATGTGGCTGGTTTACAGAGAGGGAGGGCCGTGGGGAGGTGGGCATGGGATAGGGCAGGTGTCTGTAGCTGCTAAGAAAATAGTCCCGTAAACAGGTTGCTGCCAATGGGGAAAAAATGTCTAATGAAGGCTACATAACCCAGGGCGAGCTGCCAGGGTCCCCAGGCACACCTGAAAGTCCCTTGTATGTCCCCACATGTCCTCCCTAGGTGGCTGATCCAGCTGTTCCACAAGAAAATCGAGGCTTCCCTGAGAAACACCATTTATAAAAAGGTAGGAGGGCATCAGTCGGTGAGGAGCTGAGGCCTCCGAGGGACAGCTTAGCCTTGCTGGGCACCTTGGCCTTCATCTCAACCCCTCAGCATCCACAGAGCGTTTAAATCCAGGGCCCAGCTGGGTGCTTTACAGAGAGTCCCACAGACAGTACAGGGGAGGGTGGCGCCCTCCCCAGCAAGCCTTCTCGTACCTGCTAAGCAGCTTCTCTTTACCCTACCCCAGTTCCTTCACGGAGGAACAGCCGGCCTCTGTTGTCTTCCCCTGGCTGCCCTCCCCCCCCCCTCCCCTGCCTGGTGCTGCCCCAGAACACACAGCACGGAGGAGGAAGATGCTGCATCTACAAGATTTCTTGCTGCCACTAGGAGGGACCCCTGTGGAGTGTGGAGCAGGGGGATGTCGAGGGTGCAGATGGCGGGGTATCCCCCATGCTGAGGGCAGACATGGCTTAGCATAATTCCAAGAACTCTCTGTGAGTGTGTGTGTGTGTGTGTGTGTGTGTGTGTGTGTGTGTGTGTGTGCACTCTGGCATTGGGTCCCTGAAGGTCATCCCCAGCAGGCTATCCTGCTTGGCAGCAGCCTTGGCTTGAAACAGTAAGGAGTCAGGTGCCACAGGCTGTAAGTGGGCCTGAGCAGGCTGGAGTGGGCTGGGGCGTCGGCCAAGAAGGGAGCTGAGGCCATGGGAGGCTTGGGCTCCAGGAGACTTGCTGATTTGAAGCCCCCCCCCATTGGCCTTGTGGGTAAAAAAAAAAAAAAAAACACGGGGCAGTGGGACACAGTGCCTGAGGGGCAGCTGAAGTGTTCGGCCATCCCTGCTCCCCCTCCCAGCCTGGGCCAGTGAGAGCTGTGGCACAGGAGCCTCAGAGAAGGGTGGTCCAGTTCCTCTTGGGGCTCCAGGGCCCCCTGTGACAGAAGCACATGCCAGGGGCAGCACCTCTACCTCTTCCCTTTGCCCTTCTTCCTTCCCAAATCCTCCTCCATCCTGAGCGGGGCACACTAACTTCTTTTTCTTGAAGGTTTGCTGGTTTAGTGAGTTAAGGCTGTCTTCCCGTCCTCTCACTGGTTCTTCTGATAAGAATATGAGAGATGTATCCTTGCCCAAGCTCTCCTGCTACTGTGTGTCTCTACTGTGCCATGCACCCCCTCCCGCACCCCCCCCCCCAATTCCTCTAAGTATTGCCTGCAGCACTGGTTTAGTAGGGAGGAATGGCTTTAGTTTGAGGATGTCTAGAAGGTCTTTAGCTCCCTCTTTGTTGTCCCAGGATAGCTTTACCAGCTAGTGCTCTAGGATGGCAGGTCTTTGTTTCAGGGCTGAAAACACAGCCTCACCACTCTCCTTGCCTTAGGGCTTCTGCGAACAGGTACGCCTTTACCCTGGTAACTCGGCCTTTGTAAGCGCCTTCTCTTTTGCAGCCTCCGGGGTTCTGTCTTTGTTCCAGCTTCTTGGCTTTAGCTATATGGCCTGAAATGGTTCTCTTCCGGTAGGATCTGCACAGGGTTCCAAATACCTAGTGTACTTAAATGTCATTTCTTTCCCCAGATTGGGGGAATTTCCTGCTGTAGTCTTTTTGTTTTGTATCATTTTTGTTTTTGTTTAAATGAGTAGGTTTCTCACCCTAGCTTTGTCTCGGTTCCCTCTTCACCCATTTGTCTCATCATCTTGACTCAGAGGTCTTGGATATGGTCATAACCCCTCACCCTTCGCTACTCCCTCAACCTTGTCTTCAATTCCCACCATCCCTTTTTCCTCTTGGCCTAGTCTCTCAGTGATTGCATTAATTACCCTACTCATTGCTGGGTCAAAACCCAACAAAGGGAGAGAGGGTTAATTTGGCTGTGGATTGAAGACCCAGTCCATCATGGAAGGGCGGTCAGGGCAGCAAGACACTGAGGTGTCTGGTCACAGTACCTCCAGTCAGGAAGCAGAGAGATGAATGCTGGGATATCGTTCTTCTTATCCAGTTGGGGACCCAGCCCATAGAATGGGTGTCACCCCATTACAGCCTTTACTTGCCTTTAGGGCCAAATCTTAGGCCCTGTCCCTGCACGAGGATGAAACACATCTTAAATGAACATACACTGCAGCACGGATTTGATAAGACATCATTGTCAGAGTTCCAGCAGCAATGCATGCCTGACCTTGGAGTCATTTTCAAGTCCAGTTCAGCTGCCTGAGCACAAACACGGAGATCAGTCTAATGACCCACAGTAACTGACAGGCAGGTAGTGTATACGGCTTGGATATGAAGGGCAAAGGAGTCATCCGGGTCTTAGGTGGGGTGGGGTGAGAGTTCATCCTCTCTTCAAAATGACATTCAATTTAAAACTTGAGAATTCCTTATTTCTAGAATTTTCCATTTAATAGTTTTAGACTGTGGTTGATTATAGGTAACAGAAGTTTTGCCCAAGGCAGAGGTTCGGTTATCCAGGCTGCTGCTATTCTTCTGTTCCATGCTGGGGGGAGGGGGGGTGGCAGGGGAGCTCTAGAGAAATGGAGAGACTTCCTCAGCAACACGTCCAGCCAGCTCTCAGGCCAGCGTGTCTTCCCTTGTGCGCCATGGTGTGGGGAAGCTGCCAGAAATGGCTTCTCCGGCCACAAGGCTAAGGTGAGGGCACCTACACACACCCGAGCCTAGAGGTTGCCGCGCTATCCAAAGCCCAGAGAAGGGAAGGCTGACCACGAGCCATCTTGTACTTGTTCACCGCCCCATTCCATGAAGGATCTGAGACAACAGGAGACAGGTCAAGAGAACAAGAAAATAACAGTGAACCCAGCACTCTAGCAGAGCTCACACAAACACCCCTCAGGGAAGTTTTACATTCAGGAAAGACAAAGGATGCAGACATGCAGGCAATATAGTCTTATGCAGTTAACTGTGTCTGAGCTTCCTGTGGCCAAAGGCAAAAAGGAAGCTTGATTAGCTGCATGATTTTTAAGAAGACACTAAAGGAAGAGAAAGCGTGTATGCTGTGGTTTGGATTTGTGTCCACAGAGTTCATGTGCTGGACACTTAATCCCCAAATTAATCTGTTAATGGTGTTAGAGGTGCAGCCTGTGGGCAGCAATAAGGGTTAAATGAGCCCCCGTGGTGGCCTTGGTGGCTTATAGGAAGAGGTAGGGGGACCTAAGCTAGCACATGCCTCTATCTTGCCAAGTTCTACCCTCTACCGTGTTACAATCTGAAGCCTCTTAGCAGACACTCCCCCTTATTGTGGACTTGAAGAAACCATGAGCTAAATAAACCTGTGTTCTCTGTAAATTACTTGGTCTCGGGTATTTTGCCATAGCCACAGAAAAAAGATGGAGACAGTGTGTCTGGACTCTCACTTGTGGAGGGCACTTTCTGCTTCTGAAGCTCACTGGCGTTTCTTTGGTTGCCCCTAGATCTGCAAGATCGTGACCAACTCTGTGTCCTCCAAGCTGCAGCCTTATATCCAGACTCTTCCAGGTGAGGGCTGGGAGTGGGCTGTGGATGGAAGGGGATATCAGCAGCTGGAAGGGAGGCAGAGTGGGTGGAGCAGGCCTGGGCCTGGTGGCCAGGGGCAGGGCGGGCTGCAGTCCCACAGCTGGCATTGGGCCAGTTCCTTGTGCAGCCAGAAGTGAAATGGAAGGCAACTCCAGTCAGGCAGAAGGCAAACACCCTGGTATGCCAGCACTCCAGGACCCCATGCCCTGGCACCCCAGTACCCCTGCACCTTGGCACCCCGACACCCCACCACCCCTGCATCCTGGCTCTCTGAGGCCAATGACACACACAACCTGAGATGAGAGACTACCCACTTCTCTCTAGACTTCAGTTCCCACGCCCTGCAAAAGAGACAATATCTCTATACACAGCAAATGGTAATAAGCAGCAGCTGCTGCTGGCGGGCATCCTCCTGCCCCAGCCCCATCGCTTCACTCCTGGAGGAACCAAGACTCAGAGAGGAGCAGACACTTGTTTGAAGTCCCAGAGCCATCTAGAAGAATCCAGATCCCAGTATGGAGATAAAAACGTTATTCTTTGGCAATTTCATACATTTATATGATGTGTCTTAATCATATCCACCGGAAGTTGGGATCTTAAAAACCTCAGATAGGACTGCCCCCTTGTGGACTGCAGTACCGCTGGTCCACAATGCATGCTCTGGTGCAGGACCAAAGAACAGCCTCCTCTCTCTGTCTCTGTCTCTGTCTCTGTCTCTGTCTCTGTCTGTCTCTGTCTCTGTCTGTCTCTGTCTCTGTCTCTGTCTCTGTCTCTCTCTCTCTCTCTCTCTCTCTCTCTCTCTCTCTCTCTCTCTCTCGTCCAGGCTAGCCTCAAACTCTCAGCAGTCTGGCTGCCTTCAAACTCCTGCCTCTGCCTCCCACATGACGGGGTTACAAGCATGTTGTCCCCTCACTGAGCCATTGCTATCTGTACGTGTGTGTGTGTGTGTGTGTGTGTGTGTGTGTGTGTCTGTGTTTGTGTGTGTCTGTGTCTGTGTGTCTGTGTGTCTGTGTCTGTCTGTGTTTGTGTGTGTCTGTGTTTGTGTATGTCTGTCTGTGTGTGTGTCTGTGTTTGTGTTTGTGTGTGTGTGTGCCGTGTGTCTGTGTGTACATGTGTGCATGAGTCTGGAGACTGAACCCAGAGCCTGGCATTGGCCCACTAGGTGCTCCAACCCAATCTCCATCACCAGATTTCACTTCTTTTATGGAAATCTCAGGGAGTCCCCGCAGGGGTCATGGAAAGAGGCCACAGTTCCCCTTGCAGCTGTGCGGGCTTCTGCCACTGGAACCAGCTCACAACCCATTTTCTCTGTGTCTAGTGATAGCTAGAGTGGACGAAGTGACCAGGATTGACTACAGTCTGATGGCTCTAACAACCACAGCTGAGTTCCTGGAGGGGCAGCTAAAGGTGAGGCTTTCACAGAGATAAGTACCTGCTCAAATGTGTGCCCTGTAACCTTGGAAACTGACTCTTCCTAGTTGCTTTACCCCACTCTACACTCACCTGCATCCCCGACTCCAGCCATGCTGGCTGCCTCCAATAATCCAGAAACTCACTGTGCCTGCCCCGTGCCCAGGGCCTTCGCACTAGCTCTTCCCTCTGCCCAGGGCGCTCTGCAGCAGATCTCCACATCGCTCTCCCCAGGGTGCTCTGCAGCAGATCTCCACACGGCTCTCCCCAGGGTGCTCTGCAGCAGATCTCCACACGGCTCTCCCCAGGGTGCTCTGCAGCAGATCTCCACACGGCTCTCCCCAGGGTGCTCTGCAGCAAATCTCCACACGGCTCTCCCCAGGGTGCTCTGCAGCAGATCTCCACACCGCTCTCCCTGTGCCTTCTAGTTCTTGGTTAAACAGGCCTTCCTAGGGAAATCTTCCTGGGGATGCTTTCCCCAGCCACTCTTGCTGAAATAGCGCCCCCCCCCACTGTACCCCAACGCTGCCTTTGTCTCAGCAGAACTAATTACACACACACACGCACACACACACGCACACACGCACACACACACACACACACACACACACACGTGCGTGCTATGGCGAGAGGGGGCAGGGACTGCTTTGTTCACTATTGTATGTACAGCACCTGGAAATATGTCTGGTGTAGAGTAGGTGCTCAGGAAGGAAGGAAGGAAGGAAGGAAGGAAGGAAGGAAGGAAAGGTTGGTAAGGCAACAGAGGGAAGAAAAGGAGCAATGTTGCCTAAACCCGTGGTTCTCAACCTTCCTAATGCTGTGACCCTTTAATACAGTTCCTCAGGTGGTGACTGAGCCCCAACCATACCATTATTTCATTGCTACTTCATAACTATAAATTTGCTACTGTTATGAATCATAATGTATATGTGCAGGATATCTGATATGTGATCCCTGTGGGGGTCACGACTCACAGGTTGAGAACTACTGACCTAAATCATACCATCCAGGAACAAGCACCATCGAGACTAATGGAGACCCTCCAATCCTTCTCTACAGCAATACAACATACAAAGAGAGAGGGGGGAGACAGAGAGACAGAGAGAGAGAGAGAGAGAGAGAGAGAGAGAGACAGAGAGAGAGAGAGCAACAGCACACACAGAGGCATAGAAACAGATCCACACAGCACAGATGCAAACACACGTGTGCGCGCACACACACACACACACACACACACACACACACACACACGTACACACTTCCAAGCCACCCACAAAATGTCTCCTGTGGCCTTTCACTGGTGACTCTGTGCTTCAGTGAACAGCCAGAGTAAGGCCCCACCCACCCGGGACAGTTGGACTTTTTTCAGGTGTCCCATGCAGCTAACCAGAGCTGCAGCTGGTACTGAACCAGGTCCATTTTGTCCACTGTGTGGCATGCCGGTTACTAAAATGACAAGTTATTCGTCTGATGGGTAAGTGTGAGTAGGCAGCCTGGGTCTCTCGTTCTCCCCAAGGATGAACTCGGGGACGTTTATGGGCTGGGACCTGGGGAGAGGTGATGGGAGGTTAACCAGGGGCAGATAGAGGACAGAAAAACAAGGAACTTGGGGCAGAAGAAAGAGCAGGCAGTTGTGTCCACAGGGACCATCCTGACAGCTCTCTGTCCACTCATGACTACTCTCTAGAGGTGCTGGACAAAACTGAATGCTCAAAACACCCACATACACACAAGCAGTGCACACACATACACATGGACACACATTCGTGCACACACACACTCCACACATGTGCATAAACCTGAGTACATGCATATGTGCACATGTATGCACACACATACATAGTACACACACATGCACATACCTATGGCATACATACATGCACACATACACACATGCATACATGTACACACTTGCACACATATAATATACACGTATGCAAACATGATCTGTTTTGCATGGGGGATGATGCTGTCCTGCTCGTATTTCTCTCTGAAGGATGTGTATTGAAGTTAGTGTCCACTGCCTGACCAGCTGGGTGTGGTGGTGCATGCCTTCCATCCCAGCACTCAGGTATCAGAGGCAGAGGCAGGAGGATCTTTATGAGTTCAGCCTGGTCTACACAGCAAGTTGCAGGTCAGCCAGGGCTACATAGAGACCCTGTCTCAAAAAGAAAGAAGGAAAGAAGGGAGGAAGGAAGGAAGGAAGAAAGGAAGGGAGGGAGGGAGGGAAGGAGGGAGGGAGGGAGGGAGGAAGGAAGGAAGGAAGGAAGGAAGGAAGGAAGGAAGGAAGGAGGAAGTCAAAAGGAGAAGAAAAGAGAAAAAAGGAACTATATGACCTTCCATAGTGTGGGCAACGTGGACATTAACTTTAAAGGACAGCATGGGTCAAAGGTTCAGAGCACGGGGCTGGGGGGAACTCAGTGGCACAGGGCCCACCTGCCTGTATGACACCAAAGGTTCAGGGTTGTTCCCCACGACCCTCCTGCCCACACCAAGCACCGCACTGACTATGATGTTTGTCTTTTGGTGCACATTTTTAGACTTTCTGTGCTCTTTAACTTTTATATAAGTGGTATTCTACCATATGTATCTATAATTTGCTTTCCTGAGCTCGACATTAATTTTCTTTCTAAATAAACAATCTGCTTTCACTACACGTAGTCAAATAGCTTTTTAGAGACATAAGGAACATGTATCCTTCTGGTAGCATGTAACTCTTACCAAAACCACACACTTCAGCCTTCCTGATTCTGCTAATGGGACAGAGGAGGCAACCTGCAGGCCACTGTTCTTTTGATGACTACTGAGCTGACTGGCAAGGGGGAGATGGAACGGTACATGGGAGGAGGAGGTGTTGGCTGGATGCCTCTGCTACTTATCAGCCCTGTGACCTTCTCAAAAGTGCTCCCAGGTGCCCCACATTGCCAGCAGCAGTTCCTGCTCATGCCCAGCTGGTTTTCTCCCAGCTTTTACTGGACTAGAGATGCTCACCTGCAATCTTAGGACACACAGACCTGCTCTGCTCTTTCCACCCAGGGCGAGTTTTTCTGGCGGGGAAACCACAGCTCACTTCCTATTACCCCAGCAGCAATGAGTTTTTCCCCAAACAACGACCACATGGTGCACCTGGGCATCTCCGACTACTTCTTTAACAGCGCAGGACTTGCATATCAAGAGTCTGGAACCTTGAAAATAACCCTGAGGGACCAAATGGTAAGTGTGGCTAACTGAGCACAGAATTGGAGTCCGAGTCCAGTAGACCTAGGTGGGAGGCTTTGTTCACAGGGGTGGAGTTCAGTGTGCTGTGAGGGTCAGGAGGCAAGGAGCCCTGGGTTCAAGTGTTGGTCCCACTCCTTTTCAACTGAGGGACTCTAGGTCACTTATGTATCCTTGTGCCTCAGACTCACCTGTAAGCCACCGACACCAGTGTCCTCCCCAGAATCCATTGTAAGTATTAACTGAAATAGCAGCGTGAGAGGCTAGGAGGCCAGGGCTCAGTGCATAGCAGTCACACCCCCATCAATGTGTTATTCCCACCCCTGACTCAGCATCATTGGCTCTTACCACGTGTTCATGGCTGAATCACTCTGGGCCTCAGTTTCTCCATCTGTACATGATGAAGTAACCCCCTTCTCTACAGCCTGGGAGATACAGCCATCCCAGCCTGGCCACCTGCATCCTGGGTCCCTCTTACAGCATGCCTCAAAACCATCAGGTTCTCCTCTCTGTATAAGAAGACATGCAGAATGCCCACTACCCACTGTAGAAGCAAACACAGACCACCCAGGGGCCAGGCTGCTTACTCACAGCGCGACTGGTAGCGTGGAGGCAGGCCGAATGATGCAGGGCATCCTGGGATCGGTTTGGCAGCAGATGGCAGTCACTGGCCATGCCCACCCTTCCTAGCCGACAGCTAACCAAGTTGTAGCACCAGGTGGTATTGCCGCAGTGGTCCCAGTGTGCACTGATACTCAGTGTCTCACCCCTGGCCTGGCATGACCTGTTCTTCTCAACTTTAACAATCTCTCAATATCCTTTCCCCTCCTCGCTGCAGTTGCCAAAGGATTCCAAGTTCCGACTGAACACTGAGTTCCTTGGGACCTTCCTGCCCAAGGTAGGAAGAAGGCCTTGTCTCCTCACTCAGCTCACTAGCGTGCCAGGGTGGCCTGGACCATCTTGATAGGATGAGAGCCCCCTTCAGGCCTACAGACAACAAGAGAGAGCGGAGATGACCCAGCGTAGGCCAGCCCAGGGATAGTGTCCCATCAATGCCCTGAGGGTGAGGCCGGGTGCAGGGCTCACCCATCCTTCAAATCTCTGCTGAGCTGGGGACCAACAGAATAGACTGCCTACCTGCTGTCCCCCACCTCTGTCTCCTCTGCCTCCCCCTGTCCCTGAACCTCCCTCCCCTCCCTGATTCCTTCATGTTCCTCTGCTTCCTGCCTCTCTCAGTGCTGTGAAGACAGGAATTCTCCATCCAGGCGCACAAGGCTGTTAGATGAACCAACCATGCATGCAGTCTGTGCCGGTGACTCCAATGTGTAGATGAGATTACTATAGACGGTGGACAGGCAGGTTCCTTTTGCAGGCTGAATGGCTTAAGCCAGAAATCGATTTCTCAGAGTTCTGTGGAGTGGAAGAGCAAGATTGGGGTTCTGGAAGAGCAGTCTGCCAGCTACTAGTCTGAGGGGAGGGAGAGGAGAGCGCTGGTGTTCCTTCTTCCAAGGAGAAGAGCCCTCAGCTCAGAGCCCTGCACTCATGACCTCATTCATCCTGGCTTCCATAGAGGCTCATCTCTAAGCTATAACGGGAACTGCAGAAAAGGAGCACAAGCATTTCACTTACAATAGTGTCTAGAAATTTCGACCAGGAGAGGGTGGCTGAGGAGGTGTGGCTGGTAGAAGTGTCCAGGAGGTCTGTCTTGAACATTGGCCTCTTGTGGTCGCTGCTCTTACCTCGGCTGGATCGCCTGGGGGGAGGATGGACAGCTTGCATGGGTCTCAGGAACTTTCAATAAAAAAGGACCTCTCTGTCGCTTGTCACTGGTACCCGGGAACTGCAGGTGGCCATGAAGTTCCCCAGCACAGAGGTGCAGCTACTGATCACCGCCTCCGAGGCTCCACGCCTGACCATACAGCCCTCAGGCCTCTCGCTCGAACCTGCCCTGGAGACCCAGGCCTTTGCGGTGCTCCAAAACTCCTCCCTGGTCCCTCTTTTCCTGCTTCACATGGTAAGCTGGGTGCGGACCCAGATTCAAGCCCAAATACTGTGGACTCTACAGACTGGGCCCAGAGACACGGACTCACCTGCTCACACTCCCACAGGCACTTATCACCAGCTGTCCTCTGTGTGTTTGCTTATTTATGTGTGGCTGTCACTCCTCTGTCCTTTAATTCATTCAGTCATTCATTACTTCATGGCATAAAACAGTTCCCAGCAGCCTGTCTTTGGTGACTCAGTTATGCGTGTGTGTGTGTGTGTGTGTGTGTGTGTGTGTGTGTGTGTGTGTGTGTGTGTGTGTGGTTTTCATCCATCCATTCACCTATTTGTCCAATTTTTAATTAACTCGATTACTCATTCTTACGTGAAATATGCTGTACCTTTGCCGGCCCCTACAGCCATCACTTAGGCAAGGATTCACGGATTCCTTTGCTTAAGCCTTTGGCCAGTGGGTCTTTCATCCATCATTCAGCCACGTGTATCTTCTGAGTATTCCTTCATCTGCGCATTTGCGTAACCCTTAATTTGTTCAAGTTTTCATTCCATTGCTGATTTGTGTTCATTGGTTGGCTCACCCTGTTGCTACACAAACAAACGGTTGTGGCCCCTGTATGTGTCCAGCATCTCCCCTAGCAGAGGACGCTAGAGGCCTGTGGAGTACCTACGAGGGCGGGGGGTGGGGGGGGTGGGGGGGGGTGGGGGGATGGGGGGTAGTGGTGGTGGGGGGTGGTGGTGGTGGTGGTGGTGGTGGTGTCTACAGCCTCCCAGCAGGGGGCGCTAGAGACCTGTGGCCGATCTGCCTGTCTTCAAGCTTAAACTCACTTGGCAGCTGAAATGGGTTCTGATAGGGTTACCTTAGGTAGACCATGAGCCGAGGTGGGCCTTCTCTTCCTTAGTAGGTTCTGAGTGAAGCAGTGGGTGGTAATGTGATTACAGGCCAGCCAGGACTTCCAGCCCGTGCCTCCTCCCCATCCCAGGCTGACAATCCAGGATTCTCAGAACCACAAGGCCAGAGCCATTCTCCCTGCTTCCTGGGCGCTGTGGGTATGACCCAGAGGTATGGCCACTCTGCTGGCCCTCCCCTGCCAGGGGTCAGGCCAGTTACCTGGATCACTTGCTTTGCAGAATACAAATGCCTCTATGGAAGTGGACGCTGAAGGAGACAGACTTGTTGGAGAGCTGAAGCTAGAAAAGTAAGCTTGTGGGGACAGGAGGGGGCGGGCGCCCTTCCGTTCCCGGGTCTGCAGGAAAGTAGTGGTCTCCCTGCACACTCAGCACCCAGCCCTGGCCTTGGTCCTCCTGCCCAAGCCTCACACGGTGTGCAGTGGGCACACTGCCCGTTTGCTCAAAGGCAGGTGTGGTGGCGACTCGGATACTCAGGGGCCTGCCTGGGCAACTTAGTGAGACCCTGTCTCCAGGCAAAGCTGAAAAGGACCGAGAATATGACTTGGTGGTAGAGTGTTAGCCTGGCATGTATGGGGCCCTGGGTTTCCTCCCCAGCACTGCCAAACCAAACAAGAAACCGAACTGATGCTCAAAGACAAGTGACTCACCCAGGCTCGTACACAAGTGACCGCGCGTTCCAGTTTACTCGAAACGGCCCGGCTTTAGTGAGCAGGCTGTGGGTTCAGCTTAACTGACAAGCCTGAAGCTTCCAGGCTGAGTAGAGCCAGGTGCCCCAGTGATGTCCTTGGGACCCTGAGTCACTCTGCCTCTTGGTTTGCTGTCCCCTGGGGCTTGGCTTCATTCCCTGTATGCTGTCCCCACAGGCAGCATCCTATACAGCAAGAGAGAGACACTCACTTGCTATTCTAGAAGCCTTGGGACCAGCTCCCGCCGGGCAGTATGTTTTTCAGCACTGAGCAAGGGAGGTGGACTGTGCTCAGAGCTTAGGGTTTGGTCAGCAACACTAACCATTCTGGGGACGTGTGACTCCCCCCAAGGGAGAGCCTGGGGCATGCTGGGAAAGCACACTGGGTCAGAAGCCTGGGTGGTGTCCACGGGTGGGTCCTGGGCCACTTGGGCCACCAGATGACCTCATCTCCCCTCCCTGCAGGCTGATGTTGGAACTGAAGCGCTCTGACTTCGGCTCTTTTAAGGTGAGTCTGGGCCCTGCTGAGGAAGCCCCTGGCTCAGCCGTACAAAGCTTGCCCTGTGGGCGGGCAAGCTGAGCCAGAGTCCCTGCCCCGCATAAACTGTGCAGCCCTAGGCCAGTCACATCCCTCTCGGAACTCACTCATTCCTCACCTGAGCTCCTGTGCTGGAATTCCACTGGGAAAAAAACACACCCAAAAGAACGGCGTTTGTTGGGGTGTTTGTTGAAGGGACAAATTAATTACTTTACTGAGCGCCCCCCCCCCAGATATTAGATCATGAGATCAAGATGAGTTCGTTAACCCCAGCCCTTGAGAAGTAGAGGCAGGCATATCTCTGTGGGTTTGAGACCAGCCTAGTCTACGTAGTAAGTTCTAGGCCAGCCAGGGCTACATAGAGAGACCATGCCTCAAAGAAACGAGGCAGGCGAGTGAGATCAGGGAAAGCCACCCTGAGGAGGTGATATTTGGCTGTGAGTATGAGCCAGCAGCCCTGTGACAGGAACATCTTGGCATGTGTGGGGAATGTAAGAAACTAGGGTGGCTGGTGTACAATTAGTAGAGGACCAGAGATATTGTCAGTGAAGCAGGCTGGGACTGGATCACCCAGGGCACCCCCGCTAGCTAAAATGGAGGAGAGAAGATGGAGAGAAGCAGTCTCAGGGAACCTGTCAGGGAACAGAGAGCTGTGGTTTATGCCACTCTTAGGGCCCTGTGGTTGGACAAGGGGAACAGCCTCAGGACACAAGAGTGTGACCACAGGGGTGTGAGGCTAGGAAGAGAGGAAGGAGGGTGGGCTGGAGGAGGGATTTGGAGGGGGCTTAGATGGAATTGATGGGAGAAGATGTTTGTGGGAAGGCATCATGGTGGCATCTGGGTTGTGGCTGAGTGACTGAATGACCTAGAAGAGGTCTGGCCACTTGGCTGCTCTAGGGCTGTCCCTCAGCCCTGCCCACAGACCCATCAGTGTGGCACACAGTGTACATCCGCTGAGGCTGAGGCTCCTGGAGCACTGGCAGAGCCCTGCTTCCCACTGCTTTGCAGAGTGCCTGCCTTCCCCAGCTCCAGAATCACATGGTCCCAGCCTGCGATCTCCAAGTCTGCTAAGAATCCATCTGGGATAATAGCAAACAGAAGGCCAGCCTGCCCCTCCCCTCCTGGGGCTCCTCCAGCTTCCCCCGCCCAGGCTGACTTCCTGGGAACTAACTTCTGCTCCTGCAGAAAATGAAAACTGGGCTCTCCCAGATGCAGAGCTAGGAGGGCACGGAACTGAGGTGCCCCCAGGAGCACAGCCCGGGAAGGAAGCACGATGACTCCAGAAACAAAAGCATACGCATTCATGTACACATCTGTCATATTCTTATTAGGAGAGTAACCAGTGAGGATGGAAACACTCAGCCTTAACTCAGTAAACTAAAAAACCTTCAAGAAAAAGAAGTTAGTGTGCACCTCTCAGGGACAACCCTAAATGTGGGGTTCGATGTCACTGCTCAAGGCAGGCATCCTGATGTGGCTTCACGTTACTATTTATTTATTTATCCTCAAAACAACACATATGCAGCGCTAAGCACCCGGAGACCTGCACTTTTGCAAACCCAAGCAATGAAACTTATTTGTACTCCTAGCATTCGGTTTGTGATTTAGAATATAGCCTTCCTGGCTTTTCAGTATGCTTCTTTAATTAAAATTCAGAATTCCTTGGTTCTGAGAGCCTCCTTTTCCTGTCTCACACATTGGCCCAGCCCTGTGCTGATGGTTACATTTCTACAATATCCTGTTTAATGGCTCCCTACTATTTCTTGGTATCAAAGTAGCGCCATGTCCCCAAGTGAGTCCCCCTGCTGTTGGACTCAGTAGTTTTGTTAGTTCATTATTTGTGTTAAATTGTCTTGTGGAAAGACTCCTGCTTCTCAGGTTTTGCTTTCATCCCATGTTATTGCTTTCTCTGAACCCAACCCCTCATAGGAAGGATGCATGAGGTCCGTTACTGCCCCAAAAACACACATTTGAAATAAAGGCCTGCCTTCCTGCCTTCCTTCCTTCCTTGCTTGCTTCCTTCCTTCCTCCCTCCCTGCCTTCCTCCCTGCCTCTCTTCCTTCCTTCCTTCCTTCCTTCCTTCCTTCCTTCCTTCCTTCCTTCCTTCTTTCTCCTCCTCCTCCTCCTCCTTTGCTTTTTGGTTTTTGAGACAAAGTTTTACCTTTGTAACCTTGGCCTAGAACTTACTATGTAGATCAGGCTCATAGAGGTCCACCTTCCATCTGCCTGTGGCTCCTGAATGCTGGGATTAAAGGCATCGTGCCTGGCTTGTTTGCTTGTTTGTTTTGAGTCAGGGCTCAGGGTCCCAGGAGTCTGTGTTGATCTCAAACTCATGATCCTCCTGCCTCAGCCTCTGAATCCCAGGCATGCCCCATGTCTTGCTCATTTGCAAGGCTTTTGTTGGCCACTGTGGAAGAGTTCTGAAAAGCTGCCTTTCATAGTCCCTGCGGCCTTACCGGATGCCCACTTTCCTGGTGTCTCCTGTAACTTGCTCCGGCTCTGGGTGCTTCTCCAGGCTAGGAGGCTGTGGAGAGCCGGGTGGCAGGGAGAGGAGGTGTGACTGAAGAGCAGTTGCCCTGATGACCTAGCCCCACCCCACCTTTCCCATCTGAAGGTGGAGTTACTGCAAGCTGTCATAAACTATCTCATGCCCACGATGGTGGTGCCCAAGATCAACGGTAAGAAGCTTTGGAGAAACCAATGGTTTTCAGTCCTGGTCAGAACAGTGGGGTTGCTTGTCTGCAGGTCCTGATTCCTGGCCCAGGTTAGAGGGCAGAGGATGGGCCCCTCAAATGACCCCAAATGACATCTGACCCAAAAGTTGGGAGGACAAAAGGAACTCACATGCCCTGGGCTCCTCCTCTGCTCCATTTCCTTATGAGGTGTGAGGTGGTGGTGGTGGTGATAGATTACTGAGTGACTTTTTCAGTATAGTGTAAAACTAATCTATCCCCAGCTGGGGTTCACACCAGCAGCCCCGAAACTGACCCACCCAAGTTCATCTTCATGGGAAAGATGGGTCTATGACAAATTCCTCAGGTCTGACCCAAGCCACCCCAGTTACTAAACTATCCCCTGCACTTTCATACCTCAGTTCCATCTCAGTTTATGGGGTGCAAGGGTTTTTCACCCCAGCTACTGCCCATCCACAGCTTCATCTGCAGCATAGAGCAGCTCTGTGCACAGACGCCCCAATCCCAGGTCCATGCTCTGTGTATGCGGCCCCTGGTTTCACTAAGGTGTGGACCCTCAGGAGGGAAGTCACTGGGGAGAGGCCCACAGAGGTCCTGCATGTGGGCTTGGGGGCCAATGGAGGACAAGAGGGCTGGGCACAGACACCAGGGCAGCCTTCCTTCCTGTCACGCAAACCCGTGCCCGCCCCTGCTTCACCACCCCCCTCTTGTCTCACACCACAGAGAGGCTGCGGAGAGGTTTCCCTCTCCCTTTGCCTGCTGAGATCAAGCTCAACAACATCATGTTTCAGTCCTACCAGGTAAGTCCCCAAGGTCTCTGGTCACCAAATGTCCCATAAGAATAGCCGCCCACCGCTGCCAAGCCACACTCTGCACTGAGCCCTTCCTGTCCTCACAACATCCCAGGACACAAGGAGAGCTGGTGCTTAGGAAACCTGGGCATTCAGTGAAGTTCACGGTCTAAGCCAGGCTCCTCGCTTTTATGCCATTGTCGCTTGTCTCTGTAAACGTGGGCTCACCAAGTAGACACATAGTTCTTTTTAGGTGAATGTGTCTAAGTGCCTAATATCAGATTACTTTAAAAAGCCGCTGTAGAGAGAGAGGGCGGAAGAAAGAGAGGCTTGGTCTGACCTGAGGTGGGATCATGTTCATGCACAGATAGGGGGCGTCTTTGTCACCTACATGTGCGGATGGCCAAATGCCTACAGGAGAAGATAGGATGCAGCCTCTTATAGGGATGGAAATTACTTCTGTAGTCCTCAAGGGAAGCTGGGAAGTGTAGTCTTGGGCTGGAACTTACTATGTAGATCAGGCTCATAGAGTCCACCTTCCACCTGCCTGTGGCTCCTGAATGCTGGGATTAAAGGCATCGTGCCTGGCTTGTTTGCTTGTTTGTTTGTTTGTTTGTTTGTTTGTTTGGAGTCAGGGCTCAGGGTCTCAGGAGTCTGTGTTGATCTCAAATTCATGATCCTCCTGTCTCAGCCTCTGAATCCCAGGCATGCCCCGTGTCTTGCTCATTTGCAAGGCTTTTGTTGGCCACTGTGGAAGAGTGACAGGAAACTGTCACCTAAAGCATGTATGGTGTGTGTTGCTGATGTACCAGCATCATCCTGGTATGTTTACAGAAAGTTCTCCCGAGCCTATCCTGCAGGTGTGTGACACCCTGAGGTTTGTGTACCTTCCTCTGAGTTTCCAGGCCCCTGGGCTCCTGGGGCCTTTCCCTCAACTGCTCCAGTCTCCCCTTCTTGTTCTGTCCCCCACCCCTCATACCAGCAATCCCGGCCTTCCTCCCCAGGCATCTTCTCCCCATTATTATTGGCATTATTATTGGCATATTACTGGCACTCTTGGTCACTCTCAGTAACTCCTCAAGCCCTGCAGCCACCACCCAGCTTCCCAGCCATGGGACCAGCCTTCCTCTGTGCTGTCCATGTTAGCCACTTTTCTTCCTCAGTGTCTGGACCCCAAGGCCCCGGACCCTTCATCCCTAAACATCCCAAGAAACCCACAACCCCACAGGGAAGCCCTGACCTGGCCCTGAGTTCCTGCCTCTGTTGACAGCTTGCTTTTCTGACATGTGACCATAATGAGAAACTACATCACCAAGTTCCTCTCTCTAAGGCCTAGTCCAGGGGGACTGGGAAACAGGTGACAGAGCAGAGGAATCTGTCCCCACCCTCCCAGCATCTCTGTTCCTGAATTTTATCAAGGTCATCCAAAAAAAAAAAAAAAAGACCCCCCCAGCAAAATTTAATTTCTTCACTTAGAAACAGAGGGAAGGACACTCTGGGTCGAGAGTAATTTTTCAGCCTTAGTTGGAACCAGGTCTTTTGAGCTGCTGCAGGACAGGCATGACATCAGAGGCCCCCAAGGTGGCCGAGAGAACCCCTACCAGGGAAACTGCTAACAGGGTCTCCGGCTGTCACTGCAGTCCCACAGACCCACTGCTGATACCCTAGGGTCCCACTGCCTCCTGCCTTTCTCAAACAGAATGGCCTTACTCTGCCCGCCCCCCAGGTCTTAGCCAGGTCCCTCAAGTTTTCTTTTCTTAAATATGTGTATGTGTGTGTGGCTTGCACATTGTGTGTTTGAATGTGTGTGGATGCACGGATATGTGCATGTGAACATGTGTGTGTGCGTGCATGCATGTGGAGGCCAGAGGTGACGTGGAGTGTCTTCATCTGTCACTCTCTGAGACCTTGTGTGCTGACACAGTTTCTCAGCCAGGTCGCCCTCTTAAATCCCAACCCAGCAGCAAGGGTGCACTTGAGCTCATGGTGTCTGTCTCTCCCTAGAATTTCCTGGTGCTCAGAGCAGATGTCCACCGGACCTGAGAGATGACCTGGGCCTGGGAGCTCTGCAGCCGCTCCCCAGGGGGCCACCGCACTCGCAGGATAGCCTGCCTGCTCCAGGAATCCTTTCATCTTCGGCCCTTGCCCCCCCCCCCCCCCTGTTCACTTCCCCAAGCTCAGCTCTAGAAATAACCCAAGCTAGTGGAAGTTGAGCACAGGAAAAGAGGGAGGTTTGAATGCCAGGGCCCCACGCCTCTTTCAGCAAAGCCCCTCCAGCATTGGCATTTCTGCTGGAACTGTGACATTACTTTGGACTTTGCAAAAACATCTGGTTTTTTTCCTCCTGCGTATTCTGTGTGCTGGTGTGGCTTCTTGTCCATTCATTAGCGCACTCACTGGCTGTAGCCAGCGTGGCCTGCACATATGCTCTTGAGTCCCCGACACCTACGTTAGCACAAAGTCCCGCTGTTGCAAGTGTCCTCGGGTCTTTCTTAATCGGAAAGGATGAGCCTGGTTTTCTAGGGTCCCGCAGTTTTGAGAGGTGCTGTGTCTACTGGACTATTGTTCCTGTCATTACTACATGCTGCCACTATTTTGCCTCACTCCTTCCTGTACAGCCTATTGACTTCCTGCGGCCGATGCTGACTGTTGTTCCTCACTACCACGTGGTGGCGCTGTTGAACACATGACCCGAAAAGTTGATTGTACCTCAGCAAGGCACGGACCAGGGTATGCAGTTCTTGTTTGGTGTACACAGCACATCTTATGATCTCCAGGCCCTGGTGTGGGAGCCATCAGTCCCAAGCTCTCCAGGACTGGTGCTGGATCCTGCTGGGGGCTTTGGGACATTCCTTTCCTCAAGATATCTGATGGGACTGCCCAAGCCTGTTAGACGCACTTTATACGGGTCAAGTGACCCCAAGGCCTCTCTGGGCTGGGGACCTTTGGTCTGAGACCAGGATGATGAACAAGAATACATCTAAAGATTGAGGCAAGCGGCGGAGCCTGGGTACCATAATCAGTTTAGTTTTTAAAATGGTATTTCAGTGACATCTGAAAGCTTTGGAAAGGCAAAAGTGGAATAGAGTGACCAGAAGGAGAGGTCCGGAATTCAGACTTCAGCCAGGCTGATGATGGCCAAGATGGAGAGAAGTGTTTGGGGAGGGGGTGGAGAGTAGATGAGTGACCTTCCTAAAGAAGGATGCACACACCTGCTGACATGACTCTGTTACATGGAGGCTGAGGTTCTAGGGCCGCTAACCCAAACCCACAGGGCCAGCCCAGCCCAGGAGGATCTCATTCAGTCTTCAATGCATTACGTTTCCCTCATCCTGGGACTCATTTGTGTCTTTCAGATTAGCTCACTGCCAATCACAAGCCCCGCCTGTAGCCAAGCTGGGGTTCCTACACTCCTGCCCTCCTCAGAGCCCATGAAACTTCTGTTCTGAACACCTCTAATTTGTCCACCAGGAAGGTACACCTGCTGCTTTTTGCTGATGGCTAGTGGAGGACCTGGCTTAGGACCAGAGGGGCAGCCAGGAAGGCTGGAAGGAGGAGGGCAAGGAAGGCACCGTGGAGATGAGGCTGCTTTGGTCTCAAAAGCTAAGGGAAGCCTGTGGGGCGTTTGAGCACAAGAGCCACACAATCCGGAGCTGCAGAGACGGCCCGGCCACTGAGAAAGCTGGTTGTTCTTGCAGAGGACCAGAGTTCAGTTCCCCTCAGGCAGCTCACAACCTCCAGTAACTGTAGCTCCAGGTGATCTGAAGCCCTCTTCTGACCTCTGTGGGCACCTGCATGCACATGCACGTGCCGACAGACAGAGAGAGAGAGAGAGAGAGAGAGAGAGAGAGAGAGAGAGAGAGAGAGAGAGCCAACCCTTTTGGTTTTTGGTTTTTGAGACAGGGTTTCTCTGTATAGCCCTGGCTGTCCTGGAACTCACTCTGTAGCCCAGGCTGGTCTGGAATTCAGAGATCCGCCTGCCTCTGCCTCCTGAGTGCTGGGGTGAAAGGCATGAGCCGCTACCACTGAGCCCAACTCATTTTTTTAGTCTCTCCTTGGGCTGCTACACATGGAGACACAGTCCTCTGCTCCTTCACCCTCTCTCCCATCATTCTTGTGGTGATTAGCTAAGGTTCTCCTGAGCTTTCTGGTTACTTTCCAACATATATGACAACCCCTGCCTTACCCTCTGAAGAACAGTCATGTCTGGGCCCTAAATGGGCAGGTGGAGCACACAGTTCCCCCAAGAACATCTCTCCAGTGTTAGGGAAAGAACAGCAGCATGGTCTGAATTAGAGAGGCATGTTCCCCAACACAGACCCAGATCAGGTCATCTGCAAAGTAGTTGTTTGAGCCATTTCTCCTCCAGGCAGGGACCTCCTGGTGCAAATAACCACTGGTGTGCCCAAAGTTCCTTCCAGGGTTGAAAGGCTCTCAAGTTAAATGGCAGTGTGGCTGCCATGCTCTGTGATAGACTAAATAGACTAAAGCCCCCCAGGCCGCATGCTCTGCATAAGTGAGTGTTATGGAGTGTGTTATGTGTGGTTGTGCTGTCAACCTATTAAGATTAACAAACAGGAGACAGGTAAAGCATATTCCGGGTGTTTCCAGATAGGATTGGATCATAGGAGCTCTGACCTAGTGGATGGATGAATTTCCTAATGGATTCCGACTGTGATAGTTGGAGGCAGGGTGGAAGGTGGGAGGTGAGGCATGCTTGGAGGAGGCAAGTCACTGGAAACATGTCTTTGGGGCTGCTTCTCTAGCTCGTCCTACAATCTTTCTCTGCCATGATGTCAGCTGCCCTGTTCCACCACGCCCTCCTGGCCATGATGGAATGACACTTCTGAAACCGTGAGCTGAATGAAATCATCCCTCCCTTCAGCTGTTTATATCAGGTAGTTCATCACCATGATGCCAAACCGATATAGTAAAATATAATGTCAAGAAGTTATTTTTTTTTAAATTAAAAAGCAAAAGGGATTGTCCACTCCAGGATGACTGAATGCTGCCCGATGCAGCAGCTCCCCAGTGGGTCAAGCACTGATTTATAACAGGTGGGGAGAGGTGCCGTGTGGGGAGAGAGGGCGAAGTTGGCCACAGAAGACCAGCCCCTGGCTTGCCATTTTGTCACATCTCACTGGTGGCAGGAGGAGACCAGGCCTGGCTCTTCATCTCATTTGGTCCCCTCAACAATGCCCAAGTTAGACAGGGCACCTCATGTTCTAGAAGAGTCTCCAGAGAGGTCATGAGGCCTGGGCTCACCTCAATGTTCAGAACCCCAGCCATGGAGTTCCGGGGCCTGGTTTCAAACACCAACCCAGCGTTCCTCCCCCATCCCCCATGCTGTGTGACTTCACAAATGTCATTTGCCTCTTGAAGCTTCTTTTGTCTTTGAAAACAGGAGATAAAATCCTGACCTCTTTTTCAGCTGACATTGCTGGAAGGAACCTGTGGTACCACTGATAAGCTCCCTGGGCAGAATTAAGAGCATGAACTGTGGTCCCAGGCACCTTGGGTTCAAATCCCAGCTCTGCTGCTTGTCGGCTGTGTGGCCTCAGGCAGTCATTTGACTCTCTGGTCTCGAGTTCTCTCAGCTGGAATGCCGAGTTTTCACCACACTGACCTTGGCCACACTGCCGGGACCTTGGCTAATCACCGTCCCTCATACACTAGGTGCCCAAGAAATATGTCTTGAAAGGAGTTTGGAGTTGGTCCCATAGCTGAGTGACTCAAAGCCACTGTGTGTGAGGGAGGCTCAGATGTGCTTGTCCTCGATGGCTCAGGAACTGCCCCCCCCCCCCCCCCCCCGTGTGACTTTCTCCCTCTCCAGGCTCAGTCCTTGCCCCCTGAAAACCAAGGGTTGTCTGAATTCAGGGAAGGATGGGTGTGGACAAATGTTAAAGAACCTGTTCTTGCTAGAAATTCCAGGAGGCCTCTGCTCACTTGTCCCCACTCTCCAAGCAGAAGCCCCATGAAGTGGTTAGAGCCAGAATTTACATCTGCATGAACTCTCTGGTGCTGTGCTATAAACCACAGGTTCAGGCCCCTGTCCCAGGCCCCGCCTCCTCCGCAGGGGGACAGAGGGGAACCTCAAGGAAGTAGAGAGAGGCAGGACTTGGGCTTCGCTGCCTTCTTTGAATGTCTTCTTGGCATTCCTCTCGCTGCCCTTCCATGCCTCCTCGGCAAACCCAGCCACCACAGATCCAGCAGTACCACCATGTCACCTCTATCAAGCCTTCTCCAGCGCTCCTGGGTCTTCTGGCGGAGCACAGTTGCTGGGATTTTTACATTTCTGTCTTCAGTGGTTACTGCTCCCAAAACACCAGCTAAGCCTTTGGAAAGGCTTGAGAGCTCTGCCACCCAGGGTCCCCAAGTCCAGAAGCAGGGCTCAGTGGCACCAAGCTGTCCATCAGAGTCCAGGCAGGAACCTGAATGAGGTGCTGTTACAGAGTGGGGCTCAAGCTCAGGAGCTCAAGTCAGGGTGAGCCTCCTGGAAGCAAGAGAGAAACTGGGTATCTAAACCACAGGAAGGCAGGAACGTGGACACTGGTGAACCCGGAAAACACGACCCCTACCAGACTGACCTCTAACCTCATGCACTCTGTCCTCTGGCTGAGCCCAAGTTTAGATGAGGAAACTAAGTCATAAAGAACACAGAGCCAGGCCTTAGGCCCATAAAATCCACGTAATGTTTATCCTTCAACTACTTCCTACTGTGAACTCTGCGCACCGTGAATTCCCATTCCTGGAATTTCCAGCCAACACATTTGCAAACAAGGAAGGGGGTGTGGCCACCACTTCTGTGGATGTGGGTAGACAGCCTGCTGGAAGAAAGACTCCGGGGTCACCAACATCAGCATTAGTGCCATGTGCTCTGGGGACCGAAACCAGAAAGGCCATGGGGGGGGGGCAGGCTGGACCTGGGACAGCTGCACACTAGCTGGCAGCTCTGAGGTCCAAAGGTCCTTGCTGTGGGAATTTCCCATTCCCACAAAGAGCTCCACGCTGGGACCATCCTCAAGTCACCTGAAATAGGAAGA